AAATTATATACAGTGGTACCTTGGGTTACATACGCTTCAGGTTACAGACGCTTCAGGTTACAGACTCCGATAACCCAGAAATAGTGCTTCAGGTTAAGAACTTTGCTTCAGGATGAGAACAGAAATCGTGCTCCGGCGGCGCAGCGGCAGCAGGAGGCCCCATTAGCTAAAGTGGTGCTTCAGGTTAAGAACAGTTTCAGGTTAAGTACGGACCTCCAGAACGAATTAAGTACTTAACCTGAGGTACCACTGTATCTGGATGTGTTTGTTTTGGGGGGGGGGGAGTTTCTAGCAAGTGTCTAAAATGCTATAATGAAGGTGACTCCAAATGTTAACCTTTTGGTTCCTTAGCATGGATATGATAAAGAGAAAACCAGGGAACAACCAAAACTCAAGTCTCAGCGATGCTTGTATTCCACAAGCACCTTCTTGGCTCAATTTCATCACAAGCTCTTGCTAGGTAAACATATAACACTGCCTTTCCCAACCTGATGCTTCCCAGATGTTTGGAGTACAACTCCCATCATCCCCACCCAGCATGGTCAACGGTCATGAACAATGCGAATTACAGCTCAAAACATCTCAAAGGAACCAAGTTAGGGAATGCTGGTGTAACCACATGTTGGATTTGAGGAGAGTAGAACTTGTATCCATCCAGCTGCTGCTGCTGCTGAACACATATGCTTTGGCATTGCGGGTCCCTTGCCCATCGTTTCTTGGAACAAATATGGCTAAAGGTGCCTGCATGTTACGAGTCTCTCTCCACCCCATCCCCACCACCACTGACCCCATTTTATCCTGCTTTTCAAAACAGAGACCATGGGGAAACAGGATAAACCACAGTTAAACTTCCCACAACACACCAATGACATGTATATCTTTTTGAGGTCAAACCAAAAATTTTGGATTGGTTTTGATCACTTTTCAGATAACCTAATAAGAGAAAGAATGGCCTGCTCTGAGTTCCTGTTTAAAGGAGGAATCCAGAATTTAAGGTGAAAGAACAAGTAAAAATAATGTGGACAATATCCAGCAAAGTCATACTTGGAATGTTGTTGCTGTTTAGTCATTTAGTCGTGTCCAAATCTTCGTGACTCCATGGACCAGAGCACGCCAGGCACTCCTGTCTTCCACTGCCTCCCACAGTTTGGTCAAACTCATGCTGGTAGCTTCGAGAACACTGTCCAACCATCTCGTCCTCTGTCGTCCCCTTCTCCTTGTGCCCTCCATCTTTCCCAACATTAGTGTCTTTTCCAGGGAGTCTTCTCTTCTCATGAGGTGGCCAAAGTATTGGAGTCTCAGCTTCAGGATCTGTCCTTCCAGTGAGCATACAGGGCTGATTTCCTTAAGAATGGATAGGTTTGATCTTCTTGCAGCCCATGGGACTCTCAAGAGTCTCCTCCAGCACCATAATTCAAAAGCATCAATTCTTTGGCGATCAGTCTTCTTTATGGTCCAGCTCTCACTTCCATACATCACTACTGGGAATACCATAGCTTTTACTATACGGACCTTTGTTGGCAAGGTGATGTCTCTGCTTTTTAAGATGCTGTCTAGGTTTGTCATTGCTTTTCTCCCAAGAGAAAACTTGGAATAGACTTATTCAAATCAAAGGGTTTAAGTTTCTGAATTCACTGATTTCCATAGGCCTACTTTGGGTATGATTAACAATGGATATTTCTCTCTCTCTCTCTCTCTCTCTCTCTCTCTCTCTCTCTCCCACCCACCATCCAATAAATTATTGTGTAATTACATGCCTAATGGTTGGATCTTATTTATTGAACCATCATGCTAGCACTTTGGTTTGGATGCATTAACAGCTACATCAATGCAATGACACTAAACTAGTATTGTAAGAAACATTTTACAACATTGGTACAGGCAGTGGATGGTAGGGACGCAAAAAGAATTATTTTCATATTCTGAAACCATTCTCGGTTCATTTTCAAATAAAAATGCAGCAATAGACTTGAAGCAGACGGGAAGGGGAAAGTAATTATATGAGTTAAATAAATCAGCTAATAAAATCATTTTTTGTTTGTGCCATAGCTATATAAACTGATGGGAATTTGCATAAATTATGAAATGTGGTGGGGAAAGGAGGGGTGGAGGCAGAGAGACAAAGGAAGCTAAATATGGCAGTGAAAAATCTGTGGTTAGAGGGGCAAAGGACAAAGATCTAGTGGGGTTTCAAAAACACTGGAACCATTAATAACCATTACTTACTTCCATCCTGTAATTGAGAAGAAACTGAATGATTCACTAATATAATCTAATACCGTTATATGATGCAGCGGTTCCTCTAAAATATCTATATTTAACTATGAATAAACATTAAATTTGCAGGCTGCAATAACTTAACATCAGATGGCTTTAAAGGAAACTGGCTAATTGAGCTAAAATCCTAAAAACTGGAGAAGTTCCAGTGGAGAGATAGGGAAACTTATGTGCCAATATTAAGATCCAAATGGGATGGTGCAATTATCGGCTAATTAGTAAGATAGCAATGCTAGTCAGAAGAATGCAAAAAAACCCTACCACAGTAGCCAATTAAGATGCCGTTAAAGCAGAGCCATTATGTACAATGCTTTTCAAATGAAAATCAAAGTAATTAATTACGTTTATATGTATTTAAATCTGAGGGCACAAACCACAGGGAAAGTCTTCTGCACAAGTTCTTCAGTATAAGCTAGTAATCTTCAATATTTTCAGACCTGACACCCATCTTTAACCAAAACATGGACCAGGGGACCTGTTGTCTTATTTTGTTTACCATGCATGGTAGTGGTGCTGCTAATCAGGCTGTGACCCATTGGCAGGTCCTGATCCATCAGTTGAAGGGTCCCACCAGTTCAGTAAGCCACTGGGTTCTCAGTCGAGGGGCTTTAGCAGTATGATGCTGGGGCTCTGCTATCTGCACCACCATGGCATCAAGTTAGAGAAGGAGCTACAGTGCCATCATGGCAGATGGCCAAAGGGTGGTACTTTGAAACCCTGCTTCCACTTTCTACAGCTTCTGGCCGCATTGCCTTGAAGTGTTCCTGGAGACTCTTATTTGTGCCATAACCACTCTGCTGGATTGTAGGTGAAGACCCAACATGCAATATTCTTAAGTGGTTCCTTGCTGCTGCTGCTGCTGCTGCTGTTGTCGAAGCAATGATTCTTCAACATCAACTTCATTGGACTGGCCATGCTGTGCAGATGCCTGCTTATTGTCTTCCAAAGCAACTACTCTATTCCAAACTTAAAAATGGAAAGCGTAATGCTGGTGGTCAACAAAAGAGGTTTAAAGACTGTCTCAAGGCAAATCTAAAAAAATGTAGTATGAACACCAACAATTGGGAAACACTTGCCTGCGAGCACTCCAATTGGAGAACAGCCTTTACCAAAGGTGTCATGGGCTTTGAAGACACTTGAACTCAGGATGCAAGGGAGAAATGTGCTAAGAGGAAGGCACGCTTGGCAAATCCACACCATGATCAACTAACTCCTGCCCGGAAACCAATGTCCCCACTGTGGAAGGATGTGTGGATCCAGAACTGGCCTCCACAGTCACTTACGGACTCATTGTTAAAACTGTGTTTATGGAAGACAATCTCACTTGGCTACAAGTTATCGCCAAAGAAGAAGAAGACTACTATTTGTACCCCACTCATCTGACTGGGTTGCCCCAGCCACTCTGGGTGCCTTCCAACAGATATGAAAACACAATTAAACATTATGAAAGTTCCATATGCAGGGCTGCCTTCAGATGGCTCAGGGGTCAGATAACTCCATACCCTCCAATATTTCTCTGATCAAAACAGGGACGTCCTAAGGAAAAGCAGGACATTTGAGGATCAAATCAGAAACCAGGACAGTTTCTGTAAATCTGGGACTGTTGCTGGAAAATAGGGACACTTGGAGGGTCTCTGACTTTTCGGTTAATCATGCACCACACCAGACTCCCAGGGAACATCAGAACAGTTGCTTTATCAAACAGAAGATAAACAGGACTAGCTCAGAGGCCAGTCTACACAGAACTGAACTGGTGGAGAGCTGAAACACACAATATTAATGCCACCTAATAAGTCATAGGAGGAGCAACAGTTGCAGTCTATCTCCTTCAAGCATAGGAGCCAACTCCAGGGGCTGTGGAGCATTTAGCCCCCAAAAGAAAATATTTGAGGGGGATGGCCCCCCACAAATTTGATGGACATTCCCACACAAATAGTGTGTGTGTGTGCGCGCGCTTTTTAAGATGCTTGCCAACAAAGGTCCGTATAGTTAAAGCTATGGTTTTCCCAGTAGTGATGTATGGAAGTGAGAGCTGGACCGTAAAGAAGGCTGATCGCCCAAGAATTGATGCTTTTGAATTCTGGTGCTGGAGGAGACTCTTGAGAGTCCCATGGACTGCAAGAAGATCAAACCTCTCCATTCTTAAGGAAATCAGCCCTGAGTGCTCACTGGAAGGACAGATCGTGAAGCTGAGGCTCCAATACTTTGGCCACCTCATGAGAAGAGAAGACTCCCTGGAAAAGACCCTGATGTTGGGAAAGATGGAGGGCACAAGGAGAAGGGGACGACAGAGGACGAGATGGTTGGACAGTGTTCTCAAAGCTACCAGCATGAGTTTGACCAAACTGCAGGAGGCAGTGGAAGACAGGAGTGCCTGGCTTGCTCTGGTCCATGGGGTCACGAAGAGTCGGACACGACTAAACGACTAAACAACAAGTGTGTGTGTGTGCACGCGCACGCGCTGTGTCATGTGATTAATTATGCGGGGCAGGGCTTACCTGGGCCCCCACAATATTTTATTCAAGTTGGCACCCCTGCCTTCAAACCCTTGGCGCACCACTTGCTGCACCATGTTAGTTTGCTTGCTTAAAATATTGTAAGTTGCTTTGAGTTGCTGTGGCAAAGAAAGAGCAGCTAATAAATGTACTGTAATAAATAATACCGCAGTGGCTCAGGAAGCCAACAGGATACCACTTACTGGATACCTGCTGACTTTAAGCTGGCTCTGGTTGGTTGGAACAACATGTCACTCATTAGAGCTGCTCCCGCTTTGCCCCTCCTACCTTAGCTGCTCATTTGTCTGCAAACACTTGAACAGCCTTCCAGTGAACTTCCTCTTGATTTGTGCTCTGATTTTGTATCCTTTGACATTCAGTGTGCATATTCATTTTAGCCGTAATACGAAAGGCTGCAAGGTAAGGATTGATTTTATGGAAATAAGAACCTTGTCAAATTTCATTTCATTTTTATTTGTGTGTGTGTGTGTGTGTGTGTGTGTGTGTGTGTGTGGAGGCTGCAGGTCTGGATGATAAATATAACTGTGTTGACATATCAGATTAGAAACCTATCTATCCACATGCACATTAATTTTGAAGGAAGTTCCAGCGGAGTCAATGGGACTTGCTTCTAATTAAGCATGCTTAGAGCTGAGTCATAAATTATTTGAGTTTAGCACACTGTGAAATTCTCATGAAGAATTAGTACTGTTGGTGGCAGATAATGCAACCTGTACAGATCAAGAACTATAAAGCTGGTTGTTGGAACCCGTATTTTTGAAGTGGGACCTGTAATAAAATGTTGCAGTGTGGAGACCTGCAGTTCAGGATTCCGCCAACCAGCCATGCCTTTTTCCAGGATACTCCATTCCACATGGACCGTATCCTGGTTTGCTGTCTGCCTGCCCCCTCTCCCTACAGACAATCAGCGTCATGTGCCCATTGAGCATATTTAGGACCCTTAATTGTTTATACTTCTGCAAAAGTTGGCGTTTCCCTGAGCCTGGTGATACCTTTCTCTTGTGCATGGATGACTGCGGAAGGATGTACACTGGGCAAAAGAATTTGCAACTAGTCTATACATTAGTGTGCGTATATTGTGTACCTAATCCCCACTAGAAGAAAGCTGCAGCCTGTCTAATCAACTGTTTAGAGATGGGAAAGTTTGGATTTAATCACCGCTCAGCCCTCTTCACTTGCACGTTTTTGGATTGGATTTTTGTATATTAATAGGGATACAAGAAACAGGACCAAAGATGAGATATTTGAGCGTGGGCACTGATAAAATTGTTACAGGGCTGGGTCCTATAGAAGAATGCTAAAAAGAAGAAAAAAAACCCAAATAAAGGAAACATTTTATTTGATACTTTAAAAGAAAATTTGAATTGCTATCCCAAATTTGTAAGCCTACATCCTATAGGCTTGGAGGAGATCGTGCTAGGTTTTTTAACTCAAGGCATGTTAGCAGTAACTTTTTTTAGCAGCACGCAACACAATCTCTAGAAACCAGTATCAACAAGAGGGGAGAAAGCCTGGTGAATGTATTGGCAGCAGGCAACATTCCTAAGGACATTTCCCTGAAAGGGCAGGGAAAGAAATGGGATTAGCTTCTGAGCAATAGTTTAACACTCAGGTATGAGTCAGCTTCAGTCCAATTACTTCACCTTAACTGGGCTGTACATCTGGTTCACAGGTAAAAAGTTTGTCCTCTTAAAAGTGTAGCTTCAGCCACCTGCGAGACCTGGCAACCAAACCCTGTGTTGTGGGTAGGTTGATTGAATAGCCACAACATCCAATTGGTAGGTCCCTTGATGCTGGGTTTAATCAGGCCAATGGGATGCAAGCTAAATGGATCAAGGGACCTATATATACCTATGCATGTGACCCAGAGCTTCCTCTTTCAGTGTGTGCATCGGAACACCCGCCCACCTCTCCCTATATTTAGGGCATTTTGCGCTTGACCTTGCTATGCCGTCGTATGTCGTCAGTTGTTGGGACAGGAGCACGGCAGGAATTTTCCCCACTTGGCTGATTGGCTGGTGCCATTTGGGTTTCGCCTGCTGCATAGCAAATTGTCACAACTTGTAAGGTTGCAGATAGGCTCTGGTTTAGGTGGTAGGGATGGGAGAACGCTCTCGCCATCCCTATGTGAAGGGTATTCCGTTAAAGGAATCCAGGGACTTGATGGTTTGGCCAACCCCTGTGAGGGGGTTGTGCCTGTGCCTGACTCCAGGGGGGCATTTGGGTGGCAGAGATAGCCTGTTCCCTGCTTTCCACTTATCCATGTGTTCACCCTTGGCTGACCTATGCTGGTGCCCTGGGTCAGTGTTACCTGCAACATGCAGGGAGCTAGCGGAACCAGAGCCTATGCAACCACTCACTTGCTGTAATCAATAAAGTTGTGGCCTAAATTCTGCCAAAAACCAAACCAAAATTTGAGTCTTGTCTGAATTTTTTTAAGGGGGAGGTTTAAAGGTCTGAACATTCAAACAGTATCAGAAACATTGGTGGGAAGTTTGCTTAGGCTGTTGTATGCATAAAAGTTAGCCTAACAATTTCTGTCATTCTAAAATCGGTGACATTTATCATAGAAATTGTTATGCTTATTTGCCATGATATGACAGTTCCCTCCACCTGTATGGCCTACACTTTCTTTTTATTAATAATATTTTATTCTTTTTTCCATATAGACAATTGCATTTGTTACACTGGAATTATATTCCAAATCAACAAAACTAGTGACTTCCCGCTCAGCCAACATCTATGTTTATAACCCAAATTACATACAATTGTGTTTTAAGGTTCTGTTTTATCTAATTTCATCCTCTCTAACGTGTTTCTTAATATATTCTGCTGTTTCCTTACACTTCAAAACCCAGCTGTGGTCTTCGCATATAGGAAATAACTTTAATATAGACTAGAAATGGTTTCCAGTCTTCTTTAAAAGATTCTAAATTTGTACATATCTTTTAGCAGTGCTTGTCAATTTTGCCATCTCTGCATAGTCCAGGATTTTCATCAACCAGTCTTCCTTTGAGGGTGTTCTCCCCTCCTTCCATTTCTGAGCATAGAGAATCCTTGCCGCTGTAGTCACATACATAAATACCGTCTAGCATCCCCAGCAGGAGGGATTATGGCCTCTTGGGAAAAGTCACTTTTAATTTTTTCTTAATTTCATTATATCTCATGTCCCCAAAGGGTATGGCCTAAACTTTCAATTAAGCATTTTTTTACTTCCTGGACAGATTTATTTTTAAGTGGCCAAATTAAGTGGCATTGCACTGTTCAGGTAACGCTATAGTGAAGCCTATAGTTTTATACTCAGATAAAAGTGCTCCTGAACGCAATGTATCAGCCCCCCCACTTCAAAAAGAGCTTCTAGAATCTCTACCCACTATTTCCATAGTGACGGCATGTGTTGAACACAGTGTTCCATTGTACCAGCCTATTCGTGCCTAAGATTAAAACAAGCATTGTTTAATTTGTCAATGTCATGAAGATGGCAACTGGGCGGAAACATGTTTGGCAGGGTCTGCCATTTTTACAAGCAAGAATATGGGAACAGGCTAAGAAAGTGGCCAATTTTAACTTCAACCCGTTTGAAGGGTATGGATTGCTAAATAAAGTACAGGTGTAAAATTTTTCCCACCTATATGATGTGTTTCTTACATAGACCTCTCTTGATTGATTGACCAATCTATGGAAAATAATTCTGAGTGTATAAAAGAGGCAGAAATGAGGGTCAACCATTTGTCCAAGACTGCTGTACCTGACAGTGACTAGCTGGAAATAGAACACAGTGGCATAATGTCTAGATGTTTGCTCTTCAGCTAAATCTTGTTGTAGAATCCATTGCTAGGGAGATCAGGAAAGGTAAGCTGATTTGCTGTGTAGCTCTGAGTTTTCCTCTGTATTAGTTAGTTGCAAGTCTCCCTACTGTGTACAAGGCCTGAATTTTATTTATTTATTTAAAAACAACCTTCTTCAGCTTTTCACGCAAACAAAACCATTGTTTCGCTCAGTAAAGTGTTACAAGGACTTTTCTCTCTGGAGTCTGTAATATTTAGGTGACTTTGCTAACAAATACATGATGTGAAATCCTCACACTACAACTTGCCTTGCCTCTACTCCTGTTCATTGGCTGCCATATGCAGAGAAAGGGAATCTGACAACACAATGATGTCATGTCCTCCATTCTTCCCTAGGTGTTATGAGGGAGACAGAACGAGCAAGATATGTGGCAGCTCTGGTAATGTCTAATTCTGTTCCCAGTCTTTCCATTAAAGGTAAAGGTACCCCTGCCCGTTCAGGCCAGTCTTGCCAGACTCTAGGGTTGTGCGCTCATCTCACTCTATAGGTCGGGAGCCAGCGCTGTCCGCAGACACTTCCGGGTCACGTGGCCAGCGTGACAAGCTGCATCTGGCGAGCCAGCGCAGCACACGGAACACCGTTTACCTTCCCGCTGGTAAGCGGTCCCTATTTATCTACTTGCACCCGGGGGTGCTTTCAAACTGCTAGGTTGGCAGGCGCTGGGACCGAACGACGGGAGCGCACCCCGCCGCGGGGATTCGAACCGCCGACCATGCGATCGGCGAGTCCTAGGCGCTGAGGCTTTAACCCACAGCGCCACCCGCGTCCCTAGTCTTTCCACTACTTCTTGGCAAAACCCACTTGGATCTCATCCTCTGCCTCCCACTCTTTAGCAAATAGTTAGCCTCCTTCTCTGGCAATGGCTGGCAAGTCCTTCAAGGCTTGCTTGGAAAGTTCTTCCAGTGCCATCATGGCCAAATCGTGCTACATGGAGTAACTGATCTATAAACCAGCAGGCCACAAATTTGTCAGGCCACATTTTGGCAAGACTTCATCTTAAACCTCCAGTGTCCCCCTGGTGGCTGCTTTGAGCATAAAGGGAAGTATAGTCTTCCCTTCGTCTCCAAAGCAATTACAGTGGTACCTTGGGTTAAGAATTTAATTCGTTCTGGAGGTCTGTTCTTAACCTGAAGCACCACTTTAGCTAATGGGGGCCTCCTGCTGCCGCCGCGCTGCTGCTGCACGATTTCTGTTCTCATCCTGAAGCAAAGTTCTTAACCCGAAGTACTATTTCTGGGTTAGCGGAGTCTGTAACCTGAAGCGTATGTAACCTGAAGCGTATGTAACTCGAGGTACCACTGTACTCCAGTGGTGATTTCCACCGCATATTTCACTGTGTAGGCATATAATATGAGAGATATGACAAAACGTTAAATTTTACACATTCTGCTGTAATGCTAGTTTTATTTATGACCTGCAGGTTCATTCCTAACAACAGAGGCCTCCAGCACAGATTTGAACTTTTCAACAACTTTCCCAGACAGAACAAGAAGCCAAGGTACAGAACCAAAGCCCAGAATGAAAAATGTGGAACAGCACTACCTACTGATTGAAAGTACCAGTGTGGTGCTATGAGCTACTACTCTCATCAGCCAAGCTGACTGAGGCTGATGGGAGTTGTTGTCCAAATCATCTGGAGGAAACCAAGATGGTGGTTGAAGTGTAGGTGGGTTCCCAGGAGGCAAGAAAAAGTGATAGCAGCAAGAACCTTTATTGAACTAACAGAACTGGACAACAGGGGCAAAGCAACTGCTTATATACATTCCTGAAGGCCCGGGCCACTCCCACTCCCAACGTGATTGGCTGTCTAAACTTCCAAGCTGTGAATCATAACTCAGAGTTTAAGGGTCAATGGCAGAGGCCCAAATCCTGAAATGTTCTGCGACTGGATATCACATATTGAATCAGAACACAGGGGCTCAGAATCCTTAGTCCACACTCAAGGTTAGGCAAACACAGACTACTGAATACATAACAGTGGTAGCTGCTTTAGGAGCTACCAACTGAATCAGCAAATATTCAAGCATTTTCAAAGCTGACTTTGCCCAATCATCCTTCTGGCATAGGTGACAACAAGCCTACTTTTCTGGATTACACAAGGCATCTGGCTCTAACTTAGACCTTTCTGCCCTCACTTCTGCCCACAAACAAACCTGTTTGTTGGCTTGGAAAAGCCAAACTGTTCATGCTCAAAAATCACTTTGGGCCCTACCAGATGTCTTCTTTTATTGTGCATTCATGACTGTTTGTGCTCATAATAGAATCGGGAAAGTTATGCATGATTCCACTTTCAATACATTTTGCAATTCCAAATATTTCACGGCAGTCATACTGCTTCATTCCCAATCGGTGCGTGTCCTGCAACCTCCTGCTGAAATCCTGTAGCTTTCCGTAATGCATGTTCCAGTTCATTTTTCAACCAGCTTTTGTTGTGCTATAGTGACAGATTGCCCTTCCAGACAGTGGTAATGCGGTAACATTGGGGGAGCATCCCAGAACAACTGATAAAGCGGAATGATGTGCAGATTGTTGTTGTTTAGTCGTTTAGTCGTGTCTGACTCTTCGTGACCCCATGGACCAGAGCACACCAGGCACTCCTGTTTTCCACTGCCTCCCACAGTTCGGTCAAACTCATGTTTGTAGCTTCGAGAACACTGTCCATCCATCTCGTCCTCTGTCGTCCCCTTCTCGTGTGCCCTCCATCTTTCCCAACATCAGTGTCTTTTCCAGGGAGTCTTCTCTTCTCTTGAGGTGGTCAAAGTATTGGAGCCTCAGCTTCAGGATCTGTCCTTCCAGGGAGCACTCAGGGCTGATTTCCTTAAGAATGGATAGGTTTGATCTTCTTGCAGTGCATGGGACTCTCAAGAGTCTCCTCCAGCACCAGAATTCAAAAGCATCAATTCTTTGGAAATCAGCCTTCTTTATGGTCCAGCTCTCACTTCCATACATCACTACTGGGAAAACCATGGTTTTAACTAGATGTGCAGATGGTCCACTATAAATCCACTGTAAATCCACCATCATTGCATGAATGACATGTTGCAGAACACACACGCAAAAACCCACCAGTCAAGAAGGGCCCTTTATCATGCAGTAGAGTAAGATAGCTCTTGCATACAAATTGTTAATTTCCTCTCCTATATCCGAGGGGTCATGCAAGATAGCCAGCCCTAATCCTGCTGCCACCACCCTGCTTCAAGGTAACAATGCAAGCTTTGTGTCTCATAAATTGGTGATTTAATTTTACTGCAGTGCAACGACAACAACAACTGCTCTTCTCTCCCAGTCAGGCTCAGACTCCCTCAGATGTTGCCCAATCTGAAAGGCAGCAAAATCAATTACCCAATGCACTAAATAGAAAGGCAGTGCATGCAAAACAATGGCCATTTTAAACATTTCCTGCCTCAAGTCCAGTTAGCTCAATGTTATATACTCTGGCAGGCAATGGCCCTGTAAGGTCTCAGAGGGACTGTTAGGACATTGCAACCAATTTAATACACAGCCTCCGCCTTTCATATGCAGCTGGGCAATTGCTCTGCACAGCTATGGATCTTTACTGCTGTGGGTATCTGTGGTGGCACAGGGCAAATGGCTTATTTCATTTATTTATTAAATTTATATACCACCTTTTCCTCCAAGGAGCTCCAAGGATGGTGTACATGGTCCTCCCCATTTCATCTCCCCAACAACCTTGCGATGTAGGTTAGGCTGAGAGACAGTAATTGGTCCAGGGTCATCCAGTGAGCTTCATGGCTGAGTGGAGATTTGAACCGTGGTAACTTTCTTTCCACAGGGCTAGAGCGCTTTTATTCTGACCAAAGGCAGAGAAAACCACCTTATGGTTCTTAGTTTTTTTGCAGCTGGCTAGTAAGAAGAAACAGCCTTAGAGTGATGTTACCTTCAGAGGACTGGTAGGACCATGGCTTTGCCTTTTCACCAGGAAATGGTGAAACAGTCCTGAAATTAGGGTGGCCACTTACACATTGCTCAGACAGAGTAAACACAGCTCAAACAACAATAACATCATCATCATCATCATCAGTTGAATAACAACAAGAAGAGCACACATTTGCATAACCTTTGAATATGCTAACATGTGGATAGAAGCAAGCTTATAAATAATTGCTGTAATTTAAATGGGAATACATCTCACTATAGTGGGGAACAAAGAGCAGAGACATCACCTTGCCAACAAAGGTCTGTATAGTTAAAGCTATGGTTTTCCCAGTAGTGATGTATGGAAGTGAGAGCTGGACCATAAAGAAGGCTGATCGCCGAAGAATTGATGCTTTTGAATTACGGTGCTGGAAGAGACTCTTGAGAGTCCCATGGACTGCAAGAAGATCAAACCTCTCCATTCTGAAGGAAATCAGCCCTGAGTGCTCACTGGAAGGACAGATCGTGAAGCTGAGGCTCCAATACTTTGGCCACCTCATGAGAAGAGAAGACTCCCTGGAAAAGACCCTGATGTTGGGAAAGATTGAGGGCACAAGGAGAAGGGGACGACAGAGGACGAGATGGATGGACAGTGTTCTCGAAGCTACCAGCATGAGTTTGACCAAACTGCGGGAGGCAGTGGAAGACAGGAGTGCCTGGCGTGCTCTGGTCCATGGAGTCACGAAGAGTCGGACACGACTAAATGACTAAACAACAACAACAACATAGTGGGGAAGACCATGAGCAGGGGACTGGTATGGTGGCAGCTATGGAGGGACAGCTTCAAGGCTCCTGCTAATCTCCATCCTTAGGACTCCTGATCATTAAGCTAGACTTGAGCAAATTCAACTAATTTCAGAGCTTTCTCTTCCAACGGGGTTTCACAAACCCATATGAAGAAATATTATAATCAAGCCTTCAAGCCACAAATGAGCAGGAGAGGAGCTTAATCAGGGTAAAGCAAATCCCTCTCCCCGAAAGACAGAAGCTTTTCCCCAGTGACTTTGTTCAGTACATTGTGTGAATAATGGGATATAAGAAAGAGATGATAAGTGACATCTTCTGGCTAATGCACCAATCATTATCCTGCCTTTTAATAATATAATTGAAGGCTGATAGCAAGCCACCTTTTATTTATTTCTGTTCAACACACTCGAAATGATTTGCTTTCCGTATTGATTGTGTGGCTGCTTTGGCTTATTTATCATTCTTTTGCACAATTTTTCAGTTGTTATTTCTAATGCTGCTGGTTGTCTCTCCCCCCCCCCAACCCAATTTGTTCTTTCCCGATTTTATCTCTGATTCGCGATGATGTCCTTGTGTCTTCCCACAGGACCAATGAGGCTTCCGTGCTTTCCAAGGTACAATTTTGTGGGGCAGAGTTATCTCGGTAGCTCCCAGTGGGAGTGAGGCATGGATTTGCAATCATCTGACATCAGTAAGGTACCAGGGCATTCCTAAGATTCAACTGCTTTGCTGCTGTATGTTGGGGAAGTGATGAGAAAGAGAACATTGGGGAAAATGGCACCCTTTTATGCTGGATTAATGATTTGAGATAATGACCATCCTCTGGCTTTCTCTTCTGTGTCACCACTGCAGGTTAAATAGGACGCAGGTGGCGCTGTGGTCTAAACCACTGAGCCTTTTGGGCTTGCCAATCAGAAGGTCAGTGGTTCGAATCCCTGTGATGGGGCGAGCTCCCATTGCTCTGTTCCAGCTCCTGCCAACCTAGCAGTTCGAAAGCACACCAGTGCAAGTAGATAAATAGGTACCGCTGTGGCGGGAAGGTAAACTGCATTTCAGTGCGCTCTGTCACTCATCACGGTGACCCATACGCCAGAAGCAGTTTAGGCATGCTGGCCCCATGACCGGAAAGCTGTCTGGGGACAAACGACGGCTCCCTCGGCCTGAAAGCAAGATGAGAGCCGCAACCCCAGAGTCGCCTTTGACTGGACTTAACCGTCCAGGGGTCCTTTAACCTAACCTTAAAGTGCAATGTCGAATGTAAGAGCACTGTACAAAGAGCTAGGAAAAGAGGGGACAGAGTATCAGGGCTGACTCTAGGTTTGAGCAGGATGGGCAGGGGGAGAGCTGGGCAAAGTCTTTAGCAGCGGGCATCTGGGTTAAGGCACCATTTTAATCTCTCACAGTGCCCAGAATCTAAGGATGTCAGAGAATTCTGACATAAACCAGAGTGGAATTTACCAGTGGTCAGTTACTCAGCCCATGTCTGAAACCGAAATCAACTCAAATCAGCTGTTGTTGTGTTTAGTTTGCAAATGATATGCAATTGATTGTGTGTCCCCCTCCACTCTTTTGCATTGTGTTTCCTTTGCAATGAAATGAATGGGGTGGAATAATTCAACGACAACAACATTTATGTAGTTAATCACATCATGAGCCTGGATAGCTCTGCTGGTTAGGGCATGATGCTGATAGCACCAATCTTGCAGGTTCGATCCCTGTATGGGACAGCAGCAGGACCCTGCATTTGCAGGGGGCTGGACTAGATGATCCTAACGGTCCCTTCCAACCTGACAAATCTATGATTCTAAGTTATATACAGTGGTGCCTCGCAAGACGAAAAGAATCCGTTCTGGGAGTCTCTTCGTCTAGCGGTTTTTTCGTCTTGCGAAGCAAGCCCATTGATGGGATTAGCGGATTAGCGCTATTAGCGCTATTAGCGGCTTTTAGCGGCTTTTAGCAGCTTATCAGCTTATCGGATAAGCAGATAAGCGGCTTAGCGACTTAGAAAAGAGGGGGGAAAGGAAAAAAACCCAGGAACTCGCAAGACATTTTCGTCTTGCGAAGCAAGCCCATAGCAGATTCGTTTTGCGAGGCACCTCCAAAACGGAAAACTCTTTCGTCTAGCGAGTTTTCCGTCTTGCGAGGCATTCGTCTTGCGGGGCACCACTGTAATTTTGCCACAGCAGAAAGTGAGACAGATACCTGTACCAGTCATCTCACTTCAAATGTTAAAAAGATTCAACAGCCTGAAAAAGAGAGACAAGGAATGTACTTTTGTAAACCAAGAAAATCTTTAATAAAAATTATATTAAAAAAATAGAAGAAACCGTGCTACAGATGAGATATACAGGGCAGAACAGAAAATGATGCCTTCTTACATCCCAACCTGGAGTGACACTGAAGAAGGCATTGTGGGAAATTTAGATGGAGGCTAGGCCCACCTGCCTAGGGCTGCTGGGGATTCTGGAATATATTTAAAATGGAACTGTTATGTATTCAGTTATGTATTCAGTGGTCTGTGTTTGCCTGAGCTTGAGTCTGGACTAAGGATTCTGAGCTCCTGTGTTCTGATTCAATACATGATGTCCAATCACAGAACATTTCAGGATTTGGGCCTCTGCCATTGGCCCTTGAACTCTGAGTCGTGATTTGCAGCATGGAAGTTTAGACAGCCAATCACATTGGGAGTGGGAGTAGCCCAGGCTTTCACGAATGCATATAAGCAGTTGCTTTGCCCCTGTTTCCCAGTTATGTAGTTCAATAAAGGTTCTTGCTGTTATCACTGTTTCTTGCCTCGTGGGAACCCACCTACACTTCAGGAACCTAGGCCAGGCATCAGTGTTATGCCCTACTGGGACCTTGGCAGTTGCCCAAGGATGCCAGTTGTTGATGCGGGCCTTGCAAAGAAAGATTCGGATGATACAGAGCTATAGCCATGCCTGTTCAATCACATATATTAGATGTTTGTTCCAGTCACAAAAATGAGGTAAAAATTTCTAGGTGTTTTAAATGGCCATGCCTTAGAATAGCTGGCCATGGAACTAACCAGAGAGGACTTAATATTGAGTGGCAACAAGGATGTAATTGGAAGATGTAAGTGGAAGATGTAAGTGTTGTAGAACTGATTGGGAACAGTGACCATATTGTTGTCAAAATTAACTTACATGTAGGTAGATAATCGCCAAGAAAAACCTAAGTCAGTCGCATTTGACTTCAAAAAAAGAAGCTCCCCTCAAATGGTGGTGGAAAGAGAAAGTGAAGAGGGTCAAATCTCTCCAGAATGCTTTGGGGTTGTTCAAAACCACAATAACAGAATGTATAACCGCAGATCAAGAAAGGTACTATCAGGGTCAAGAGGATGCCACTGTGATTAATGAGCAGAGAAGGAAGCTATAAGAGGAAAGAAGGATTTCTTCAGAAAATGGAAGTCATGTCCAAAGGAGGAGAACAAACTTTGGCAAAAGAAATGCAAGCAGACAATAAGGAATGCAAAATGAACCAAGAAAAAAACAAAACAAAAAACAATGAGCACATCATTAAAAACATAAAAACCACCACCAACAAAAATCTTTAAATACATTAGAGACAGGAGATCAGGTAGGGATGTGGTTGGACCTTGGATAACAAAGGAGTCAAATGTGTGGTGAAGGAGGAAAAGGAGATTGCAGATTGCAAAGAAGCTGAATACATTATCGGCATTTCAGGAAAAGATGTAGGGTAGATACCCTGTGCCTGGACTCAGTTTCTCAAGAAAGGGAGTCTGAGGAACTGTGGCAAACAGTGGTGAAAAGATAGGAAGTTCTAGGCCTTACTGAGAAAAACTGGCAAATCACCACATCCAGATGGCACGCACCTGGGAGTTATTAAAGAACTCCACTGTGAAATTGTTGATCTTCTAACAAAATATGTCCCTAAGACGAGCCTGTTAGAATTCCTGCTCCATGACTGCAGTCATGGGATTGTTGTCTTTCACATGACGGTGTATGTTTTGACTCCACAGAGTGGGAAGTGACGGAGACAGGATATTTGTGTTACTGTATTCCGTGAAGTGGGACTATTGTCCTTTGTTTTTTCTCTTTGCTGTCTGATCCTAGAGAGAGAAGGAGCCAGGTTGCAGTGCTCCGTGTGTGTTTATATGTAAATAAAGTAGATTAGCCAAAATGCTGAGTTGCTGAGGTCTGTTATGCAAGCTGCGAAGACTCTGCGGATCCCTAAGTGTCTGTTGACATCGGTCACTGTGATGTTCAAGCAGAAGAAAGCTTTTGAAGCTCCTGAACTATTGACCAGGAGGGAAAGAACATGCCAGTCGGGCATGTGTCTTGCCAGGGTCCTACTTGAGAGTAGGACAAGCTCCTGACAGAGCCTCCATATTTGAAGTCTGAAAAGTGGCAAATGTAACACCGGTTTTGAAAAAAGGGACCCAGATGGGATCAAGGAAATTACAGGCTAATTGGCTAAACTAGGAAAACTGGTGGGAAGCATTATTAAAGATGGGATTAGCAGGCCTATAGAAGAGCAAGCCTTTCTGAAACAAAACAACATGACATCTGTAAATTTAAGCCCTGCCTCGCTAACCTCTCTGAGTTCTTTGACAGTGTCAACAAGCATATAGGTAGAATTGATCTAGTCAGTGCTTTTTTCTGGGGGGGATGCATATCCCTAAACATTTTGTGAATCTAAGTTTGGCCTCATTGAGGGGCAGTATTTCAATATGAAAATGAAAGTACCCCTAAACATTTATTTATTTTTTTAGAAAAAAAGAACTGGATCCAGTCAACTTTGTGAACCTATAAAATGTTTTTGTACCTCACCAAAGACTCCTGAGTATGTTTAGCAGTCATGAATAAGAGGAGAGGCTGGAATACAGATCAGAAACTGGTTAAGGACTAGGAATCAGGGAGTAGAAATAAATGGAAAGGTCTTCTAATGGATGAGTCCCCCAAGGTCGGTACTGAGGGTTTAAACTCAGTTTTCATTCAGGTTCTGCTTTCCAGAGGCTATAACACACACATGGCTCTGCCTAGATGATGACAAAGAGTAGGATGATCAAATGTGAGGAGGCGGGCCTTAACAAATCCTGGTCTAAACCATTTAGAGCTAAAATAGGGATAAGCAGTATTTCGCATTACACCTGACAGCAATGAACGTGGTAAAAAAAAGCAGAGAAACGTGCTCCAAAAAATTAAGTGAATGATTACATATTTTCAAACTAGCTAGAGGAAAGCTGAGATTTAAATCTTCTCAGCTTCTGGCTGTCAAATTCTCTCACCTATTGGGCACACATGAGGTCCATAAATAGAACAGTGTATCCATGGCAATGGGGAGTTCATTTTCTCCTAACAAACTGGTAACAAATCACTTAACTTTTTTATTTGTTTAAATATTGCAATTCAGTGCTCAGCATTTATACCACACTTTACAGAGTTCAAAGCACTTTCACACGCATTATCTTGGAAATTTCTCCCATGGCATTTTTAATATTTTTTTTTAATTTTTTTTTTGAAAATTTCATCAAAACATTTTTATTCCCGTATTGCAAATGAGGGAAGGTAAGGATGAGACCGAGCTTAGCGAAAAGCAGATGGCAGCTTAGGGGAGTTGGGTGAGTGAAAGACAGTGGCATATTCCTGGTGGAAGACCACCAACTCAGAGCTCCCTGGATCTCCCTGCCAACCAGGGAGGCCCTAAGCTACTGAAAGTAATGGGACCCTTTATATGTCCAGCTGTCCTTTGTCAACAACAAATTGTTGCTGTTTTATGTGTTTAATATATGGTAATTTATGGACCTAATAGGCATCTAAAGCCATTTGCACATAACAAAATATGTGTTTTATCATATTAATTGTTGAACAGAAATACTATTAAGAAGCATATTAATAGTGAAATACAATTAAGAAGAAGTATATTAATAGTGAAATAATTATTAAGCTCTAACTAAAAATGATTGGGGGCCCATTACAGTGGTACCTTGGGTTAAGTACTTAATTCATTCTGGAGGTCTGTTCTTAACCTGAAACTGTTCTTAACCTTAACCTTTAGCTAATGGGGCCTCCCGCTGCCGCCGAGCATTTTCTGTTCTCATCCTGAAGCAAAGTTCTTAACCCGAGGTACTATTTCTGGGTTAGCGGAGTCTGTAACCTGAAGCGTATGTAACCCGAGGTACCACTGTACTTACATCACAGGAGCCTACACAACACAAAACACTGTTGCTGTATGTAGGTTTTATTTTATTTGTTTTTTATCTTATATTTTGGAAATGTACATCCAGTGTTTTTTCCTTTAATTTTTTGGGGGCCCCCGAAGCTATAGCTTTTACGTAAATCCGGCATTGCTGCCAACGCCGACACTCATTTCCCAGCCCCAGCTAATGAGGCTTGTTCAGGTACTGCAGATCAGTGACTTAGATGGTAAAGAAAAATCTCCATCTACTTCACAACAGCAGTGTTCAGCAACCGTCAGGGTTTAGCTTGCTCAGAGCTGGAACCAGGGGCAGGTGGGGTATCCTTGAAGGAGGAGCAAGGGGAGTGGAGCCCAACAGCACCCAGATCTCCATGTTCTTCCTCCTTTGACTCTGAGGAGCTGTCAGACCTAGACGTTCTGGTCCAGGGCCACACCAGATGGTTGCCCAGATTCAGGACAAGAGATCTGTACACCAGTTGCCTGAGTCCCTGGCCAGCTTTTAGACCCCACCCCATCTAGGGTCATAGTAGCAGAGAAGATGGCTAGTGAGATAGATGTTTCAGGATCATGTATGAAATGCTCAGCACATGTGAAGTGATGTGGGAGAAGTGGGGAGTTTATGTAAGCCTAGATCAGAGCCTGGCTGGAAGCCAGGAAAAGTTGGAGCCAGCAGCTCCTGTATAAGATACCACTCTGAGCTGCTTCACTGCTGAAGCAACATCTCCCCTAGAGCCCCAAGTTCCAGCATAAAGCCTCCTTGAACTAGAGAAATGGGTAGGGAGTACAGTGGTACTTGGGTTAAGTACTTAATTCGTTCTGGAGGTCCGTTCTTAACCTGAAACTGTTCTTAACCTGAAGCACCACTTTAGCTAATGGGGCTTCCTGCTGCTGCCGCGCTGCTGGAGCACGATTTCTGTTCTCATCCTGAAGCAAAGTTCTTAACCTGAAGCACTATTTCTCGGTTAGCGGAGTCTGTAACCTGAAGCGTATGTATCCTGAAGCGTATGTAACCTGAGGTACCACTGTACGTTTCTGTTCTCTTCCCCTCCCCCCATCCAAGAAAAGCAAATGTACATCCTCTTGTTTTTCTTCTTCTATTTTGCAGTCTTAATCCTGACATATTTGTTCATCTCCTCTGAACCTTTCCCATTTGTCAGAGTCTTTCTTAGCACAAGTGAATTCTGGGTTGATGATGAATTAATATTTATAAAGCAAGTTCCCTGTTGGAATGTACATGTGAAGCAGAACTGGCAAAGACTAGTTGTTTTGAGTGCCAGTGTGTATATGTGATTTCACAGCGCAACACCGTTATGATGTAACTTGATAGAATAATAGTTTACACAGTCATCGTTGCCCCAATCTGAATAGGAGCATATGGATGCAGATGCAGTTTATAAGGAGAATGCATGCACAAACTATTGTTGAATGAGCAAGTCCACACCTAATCTACTTCCCAGGGCTAAGCGCATCTAGCCCCAGTTGTATGCTCGCAGTAACAATGATGATCACCTATCTGTTTAGGTTGAGGAGCAAGCGGGGGGGTGGGGGTGTTTTTTTATCTCTTCCCTTCCACACGGAACAGCTGATTGGGTCTACCACAAGTATCTGACTGGGGATTTGTATGTGCAGCCCCAACTACTAGACATATTTGTTTGTTGGACAGAGCTTAGGTTTTCCATATATTTTTAAACCTGTGACTATTTCATTTCAGGTTCAAAGGATAAAAGCTATGTGTGATGGCCTGGGATTCCGATTCGGAGGATGAAACAGAGGAATCCCGGCCTGCACAGGAGTCCCCGCCTCCAGGGCCGGCTGAACTGGGGCAAGGCCTTGATGCTGAAGAGTCTGCACCTGTGGCAGTGCATCAGGAGCTGGCCCCAGGTGAAGCCCTTCGGGCCCCAGAGGGGCTTGATGACTCAGTGGCCACAGGTGAGCCTCCTCCAGGGCCCAGTAACCCTTCGGCCTCTCCTGATCTGCAGAGGCTTAGGGCAGAGAGGCGAAGGGAACTGGTTGCCCCCAGGAGGAGTGCTCGCCTTAAGGCCAGAGGAGGCGGGGCTCCTGGGGACCGGGACCGCCCCTGGCCTTAGAAGAGGATAAAAGCCCAGTCAGCCCGGCCCCAGGTTGCGGGAGCAACGTCGGTGTTGGCGTCGGACCTTCCTGTGTTCCTGATCCCTGCTCGGCTTCCTGTTCCTGACTATCCGGTACTCCTGTTCCCTGCTCGGCCTCCTGTTCCCGACCATCCGGTGTTCCTGTTCCCTGCACAGCCTCCTGTTCCAGCAGTCCTGTTCCCCGCCCGGCTCTCTGCCTCGGACCTTGCCCCTCTTCGTGTGGACTCTGCTACACCCAAGGTACCTTACCCCCGGGACCAGCACAGTTTGCTCCCGCCAAACCCGCACTCCCCCTTCGTAGGGGTGCGTTCGGGAAGAGCCAGAGCGCGAGGCTTTGCAGGACTTCTTGCGCAAGAACCTGGAGCGTGGGTTCATTAGGCCGTCCACCTCGCCTACCGCGGCACCAGTGCTTTTCGTTAAGAAGAAATGTGGGGAACTCCGCCCTTGCCATGATTACCGAGCCTTGAACAAAATTACCGTCCCAGACCGATACCCCTTGCCCCTTATCTCGGAGCATCTGGAGCGGGTGCAAGGGGCACAGGTGTTCACCAAGCTGGACCTCCGGGGGGCCTACAACTTGATTCGGATCCGAGCCGGGGATGAGTGGAAGACAGCGTTTGGGACCCGGTACGGGCAGTTCGAATATTTGGTTATGCCTTTCGGGTTGTGCAGCGCGCCTGCTGTGTTCCAACGCTACATCAACCACGTGTTTCAGGACTTGTTAGACAAGTACGTGGTGGTGTATTTGGATGACATACTGATTTACTCCCGTGACCCGGCTCGCCATGAGGGACATGTCCGGACCGTGCTGCAGCGCTTGCGTGAGCACCGTTTGTACGCAAAGCTCAGCAAGTGCGAGTTCCATCAGCGGACTGTGGACTTCCTTGGTCACCGGCTCTCTCCGGATGGGGTGCAAATGGACCCGGGGAAGGTGACAGCGGTTCAAGAATGGGCGGCACCCGGAACCGCAAGGACCTACAGCGTTTCCTGGGGTTCGCCAATTACTACCGGACCTTCATCGCTGATTATGCTCATCGCACCACCCCGTTGACCCGGCTACTGCGCCCAAAGACGCCGTTTTCCTGGGACAAGGAGGCAGAGGAGGCGTTTCAGGGGTTGAAGGCCTGTTTCCAGAGGGCACCAATCTTACAACATCCTGACCCCTCTCGACCCTTTGTGGTGGAGACCGACGCCTCCAGTACGGCTCTCGGTGCCGTCTTGTCTCAACAGATTGGGCCCGAAGCGCCACTCTTACCCTGTGCCTTCTATTCCCGCCAGCTCCTACCAGCGGAGCGTAACTATACTGTGTGGGAGCAATCCACGCCGAAATCTCTGTGGCGCCCCTAATCACATTACCGGAGACTCAATCATCCAATGGTTGCATCTTCCACGATCCCGGGAAAACCCTAGATGCTATTGAAGAGACAAAATGACTCTCACCCCTACTACTATCCTGGAACGTTGCTGGATGGCAATCGAAAACAAGGGACAAAGACGTTTTAACCTACGTATCACAGTTCAAGATCATCCTGCTCCAAGAAACCTGGATGCAAAATCCTTTCGAACTACACAATTACTTTGCTTTCCATTCCCCTGCCTCAATCGGCCCAAAAGGCGGAAGACCGGCGGGAGGTTTGAGCACCTTCGTATCGACAGATCTAGGAGCCTCCCTATCCAATTGAAAATCGATAAAAATGGATTTTGGCCGTCAAAATATTCTCCACCCATTTTAAGATCATATGCATCAATGTTTATATTCACCCACTTATGAAACAAACTGATCTTAAAAACATCTGGAATGAACTGGAAGACTGCATTCGCCTTGTCTCAAATAAGTTTCCCTCTGCCTCCTTAATTATTGGTGGGGATTTTAATGCAAGGCTAGGCCACTCAGACGAACAGTTAATCAAGGAAAGTGGAATGGGTCCCCTAAATGCTAATGATGAATATTGGCCCCTATTCAGGCGTCACTCACTTGACCCAGTCACCAATTTTGCTGGTACATGTCTTTTTTAATGGCACTTAGATTAAACCTTGTTATTTTAAACGGCCTCTCCTCGGGGACTGCCCTGGCAAATTTACTTACTGGTCAGGCCTAAGGCATTCTGTTATTGACTACATCCTTGTCTCCCAAGAACTTTTCGATGAATATATTGAATTTACTGTAGATATAAGAACCGAAAGTGACCATTTACCCCTAAATCTTAAAAGGACTGAATTTTGGGAACCCTCTAGATGTGGGCTTGCCCCGCAGACTCCTGATCCTAGCGCTTTACAACAAATAGGTAGATCCAGAATTAAATGGTCCCCTTATGTTAATAACCATTTTGGTATTTGGACACAATCAATGGAAGGTCAACTCCTCTGGGCTGATCTGACTTCCAACGACACTGAAGAGACCTCCCCAATTGACCATTATAACACATTAATCCGAAAACTCCAACCGTTATTGTCAAGACCCAGAAGATCTAACCAAAATGACTCCCCTACCAACAAAAAATGGTTTGACCACGAATGCACTCAGGCAAAACTTATACTCAGGGAATGCTTTAAGGTCTTCCAGCAAAATCCTAACCCTATCACTAAATTGGAGTTACAACTTAAAAAAAGAACTACAAAGAGTTATTAAAAACCAAAAAAGAACCGCAGACTCTCTCATCTGGCAGGCCCTCATAAAAGCGTCAATAGAAAAAGACAATTCTAATTTCTGGAAAATTATCTCCAGTCAAACCAAAGCTCCTAATGAGGGCACAATAATCCCTGCAAATTCATGGGAAGAGCACTATAAAGTGATGTTTAGGGAACATCGTCCTTCTGCGCCGCTTAACATCCCCTTAGATAATGATACACCATGGCCCCCAACATCTGAAACTGAAATCGCTTCGCTAATTCTACAAATGAAATCTGGCAAAGCCCCAGGAAGTGATTTCATTGTCGCTGAACTTTTGAAAGCGCAAATAAACTGGTGGGCCCCGGTCCTTGCAAATCTATTTTCATATATAGACAAGACAACTGAAATCCCTAAAGATTGGGGACTAGCTATAATTGTTCCCATATTTAAAAAGGGCAACCCCTCTGATCCATCTAATTATAGACCAATTAGTCTCCTGAATGTGATCTGTAAACTTTATACAAAACATCTATGCCTAAAATTATGGGAATGGTTAGATCATAACAACTTGCTAGAAATTGAACAAGCAGGGTTTACATCCGGACGTTCCACCATTGATCACTGCTTAGTGTTAGATTACTTTGTCTATAAGTATGCGAAATATTGGAAAAAGTCATTATATGCGGCCTTTGTGGACCTAAAGGCAGCATTTGATTCTGTATCTAGGAGCAGGCTCTGGGCCAAATTGGCCAATATGGGTATTAACAGAAGGTTATTACTTCTGATGATTAAGCTTCATGAGAACAATACCCTCCAGATAAGATTTGCACAGGACGGCAGACTCTCTAGAGAAATCCCAGTCCAAAGAGGAGTTAGACAAGGATGCCTATTAGCCCCATTCCTATTTAACATCTATGTTAACTCCCTGGTCACATGCTGCCGTGAAATTGAAACCCACCCCCCTGTGTTCTCTAATGGCAGAAAAGTACCAATTTTAATGTATGCGGATGACGCTGTTCTTCTCTCTCAAACCAAAGTGGGTCTGAAACGTGCCTTAGGAAAGTTTAGTGACCAATGTAACACTGAACTGCTAACAATTAACTTTGCCAAAACCAAAATTGTACATTTTAACCGCTCCTTCAGGAAGGATAATTGGAGCGTAAAGGAAACGCCATTGAACAGACTAAGACCTTCCAATATTTAGGCATTACTTTCTCTTATAATGCCAAATTCTCAGCACACTTGACCACATCAGCTATATCAGCAGAAAGAAGTGCAAATGCTATCCTTAGATTATTCAGAAGGAAAGGAGCTGGCTTCCTCCCGATGGCCCTAACAGTCTTTCAGGCAAAATCTTTAGCCCAACTTCTATATGGCTCTCAAATTAGCCCCTCTGCCAACCTTAAGACCCTTGAAACAGTACAATCTAAATTCTTAAGATCATTATTTGCTACCCCTAAGTGTACACCTAATGCAGTCTTAAGGCAAGAGGCAGGATTGCCCAGAGTGGAATTAAAAGTCTGGGAACAAGCAATATCCCTCTGGCTGAAAATCCATTACAATCCTAAGGGTCTATTACCTTGCTTCCTGGCCGCAGTTCCCTATCCTCCTTGGCTTATGCAAATAACTAACAAGATCAAACAAATTGGCCTAAACCCTGAAAATATTTTTATTGGAACTCTGAACAAGGCAAAAGCTACTATTACTCGGAGACTTTATGATATCGAATTACAACAAGAAGGCGCCCTACTCCCAGAGACGTATAGATGTTTAAAAGCTTGGCCTAATTTTACAGCTGCCCCTTACTTAACCAACATCACTAGCGAAGCCTATAGATGGGCTTTCTCTAGAGCCCGCTTTGAGACAATGCCCTCAGCAGTGCTGTACGGCAAATTCACGCGGGTTCCAATGCATGCGCGTCTCTGCCCTTGTATGTCTAATAAGGTAGAATCTGTCACACACATTCTTCTATCTTGCGAATTCTATAGTGAAGAACGAGCTCAACTTATTTTACCGCTTCTATCAAAATTTATACCCCTTCAATATTATTTGGAATCCTCCCCTGAAATTCTTCGAAAATACCTCCTGGAAGATTCCTCAAGCTCAGTATCATATGAGGTGGCTAAATTTTGCACTTTAGTAATTAAGAAACGTAAATCTCTTCTGTTGAATGGCACACTGCGAAGTTCCCTTGTGTAACCTTTTTTCTTTTCTGAAGTTGTTGCTGATTTCTTGTTGTCTGATCTTGGGATGTTTAGTGTCACTGGCTTTGGCCGCAATAAACTTGAACTTGAACTTGAACTTGAACTGTGTGGGAGCGGGAACTACTGGCCATCAAGGTAGCCTTCGAGGTCTGGCGCCACCATCTTGAGGGGGCACGACATCCGGTGGAGGTAAGAACCGACCACCGGAACCTGGAGTACCTCCAGACCACCCGCAAGCTGAACCAAAGACAGATCCGGTGGGCGTTGTTCTTTTCCCGGTTCCAGTTTCGGATCCGCTACATCCCTAGCTCTCAGAATCTGAAGGCGGATGCCCTGTCCCGGAAACCTGAAGACAACGCAGACACGGTACAGCAAGTAGAACCCGCCACGATCCTACCTCCGGCCGCATTCCTGGCCACCCAGGAGGCGCAGCCACTGCAGGTTCGGGTGCGGGAACAGCAGCGGGTCGACGCTTGGGCCCAGGAACGACTCCGGGAGCTGGCTGAAGGGTCCAGCCCACAGTATCCGGGGCTGGTCCTGCATCAGGGCCTCCTGCTGCACCACGGTCGTCTGCTACATCCCGCCAGGGCCACTGCGGCTGGAGGTTCTCCGGATGGCCCATGATGCCCCGGCAGCGGGGCACTTTGGACGGTATCGGACCACCCATCTGGTCAGTCGTGAGTTTTGGTGGCCCCGCCTGAAGGCTGACGTGGCTCGCTACGTTGCTGGTTGTGATGTCTGCCGACGCGCCAAGGGGCCTACCGGGCGACCCCCGCCCTACTTCAGCCATTGCCAGTTCCACCGCGCCCTTGGCACACAGTTTCGTTGGACTTTGTAGTGGACTTACCCTCGTCTCGTGGCTGTACCTGCCTTCTGGTTTTCTCCGACCATTTCACCAAGATGGTGCACTGCGCTCCCTGTCCATCTGTACCCACAGCCAAGGAAACTGCTCAGCTGTACCTTCAGCATGTCTTCCGCCTGCATGGACTACCTGAGCGCGTGGTGTCCGACCGGGGCGTTCAGTTCACATCCCGGTTCTGGCGAGCATTACACCAGACCCTCGGGACGGAGGTCTGCCTCTCGTCAGCCTACCACCCACAGACCGATGGCCAGACGGAACGGGCGAACGCGGTGCTGGAGCAGTACCTCCGGTGTTACTGCAGCTACCAGCAGGATGACTGGGTCGACCACCTGGCATTGGCGGAGTTCGCCTATAACAACGCGGTGAATGCGTCCACCCAGCAGACCCCGTTCCAGGCCAGTTATGGTTATCATCCACGGCTGTTTCCAGAGGTGCTGCCGGCATCCGCGGTCCCGGCGGTGACGGAGTGGCTTCAAGAGCTCCAGTCCCAGCAACAGCTTTTGGTGGAGCAACTGCACCAGGCCAAGGAAGCGTACAAAGCCCAGGCCGACCGCCACCGCCAGGTGGGGCCGGAACTCGCGTCGGTGACCTGGTTTGGCTCTCCACTCGCCACCTCCACCCCTCTCGACCTTCGCGGAAGTTGGACGCCCGCTTCACCGGCCCGTTCCCTATCGTAGACCAAATCTCTCCTGTGGCATTCCGTCTCCGGTTACCCGCAACCCTGAAGGTTCACCCGGTCTTCCACAGGTCCCTTTTGAGTCCGGTGGCCCCACCCGGCCAGTACCCACAGAACCGTCCCCCACCGCAGCCAGTGTTGGTTCGGGGAGAGCCTGAGTACGAGGTGGAACGCATCCTGGACTCCCGATACCGCAGGGAAAGCTGCAGTATCTCATTGACTGGAAGGAGTACGGACCGGAGGACCGTTCCTGGGAACCAGCGGCCAATGTCCATGCACCTGCCTGCCTCCGAGAGTTCCATGCGACGTATCCCGGCAAGCCGGGTCCGGACCCTCGGTTGAGGGGGCCTGGGAGGGGGATGGTGTGATGGCCTGGGATTCCGATTCGGAGGATGAAACAGAGGAATCCCGGCCTGCACAGGAGTCCCCGCCTCCAGGGCCGGCTGAACTGGGGCAAGGCCTTGATGCTGAAGAGCCTGCACCTGTGGCAGTGCATCAGGAGCTGGCCCCAGGTGAAGCCCTTCGGGCCCCAGAGGGGCTTGATGACTCAGTGGCCACAGGTGAGCCTCCTCCAGGGCCCAGTAACCCTTCGGCCTCTCCTGATCTGCAGAGGCTTAGGGCAGAGAGGCGAAGGGAACTGGTTGCCCCCAGGAGGAGTGCTCGCCTTAAGGCCAGAGGAGGCGGGGCTCCTGGGGACCGGGACCGCCCCTGGCCTTAGAAGAGGATAAAAGCCCAGTCAGCCCGGCCCCAGGTTGCGGGAGCAACGTCGTTGTTGGCTTCGGACCTTCCTGTGTTCCTGATCCCTGCTCGGCTTCCTGTTCCTGACTATCCGGTACTCCTGTTCCCTGCTCGGCCTCCTGTTCCCGACCATCCGGTGTTCCTGTTCCCTGCACAGCCTCCTGTTCCAGCATTCCTGTTCCCCGCCCGGCTCTCTGCCTCGGACCTTGCCCCTCTTCGTGTGGACTCTGCTACACCCAAGGTACCTTACCCCCGGGACCAGCACACTATGAAATCCTCTTTCTGAGACATTTGCTTTGCATAGATTGCTAGACGCTGTCTACACCTCTCCATACATTTTAATTGGTGTTTGAATATAGAGTGTATTTTAAACGTATTCTTGAATTGAGTGCTATCTCCTGATTTAATTATGTGATGGCAGCTAGATCTAACAATAAAAAGTGGCTCAAAAAGAAATCTGGATATCAGCACTGTCACCCTAAGACAAGTTTCCATCAATATGAAAAACATCATATCCCTGCCTTCCCTTTTTCAATTCTATTCTGTCATCTGCATTTTCAGATGTAGACCTCTGAGAGGGTGAAACCCAGCCTCTCTTGCCCATGTACCTCAGAATTACGGAAACGGAAGTCTCTTTGCAAAAAGTAGGACATCCCTGTTTCTTGTATCACTTGATAGGCATGGTATGACCCTGATCAAGAACTTTAAATCTCATTCAAGAATTCACTGGATCCCAGAGGACCCAGATTATTCAAGGCATTGATTTTGAAGTACTTTCTACTGCAGAGTAAAGCCAACTCAGATTCGGACTGTATTTGTTTATATTAAAATTAATGATTGGCAATTCCATTAAATTATAACAAACCTAATGAATGTAATTAGCCATCTGAGCAGCAATGATACCAACCAAAAATACAATAAACCACAGAGCCAAACAAAAACCTGCTGACCAGAGGGAGCAGATTAGCCGACATTAAAGCCTCAATGACACAAAATGGTCTTCACCATTCTCCGAAAAGTTCAGAAGGATTGGTGGTAGATGGGCCTCTCAAGTGGGAATGGGTACTTCTAGAATCTGGGAGCCACAAATGAAAAGGCCCTGATCAGCAGACTCACCAGCCACAATTCAATAGGGCCTGGAGAAGACCCTCTCTGAAGATCTCAATGGGCAACCAGGATTGGGAAGGGCCTTAGCTCAGTGGTAGAGTATCTGCTTTGTATTCAGAAGGTCCCAGGTTCATTAGCATTTTAAGGTAGAGTTGGGAATGTTCTCCTGTCTGAAACCCTGGAGATCCATTGTGAAATAGGGTAGACAACTGAGTTTGATGGACCAATGTTCTAGCTTGGTTAAGACAGCTTCCTATGTTCCACGAGCATCATGTGAAAGCAGGCGGTTTTTCTGAAAACCTTAAAGGGCAAGGAGAAGAATAGTCCCTCAGTAACATCATCAGGAACCTGCCCTTCAAATAGGACCCATCACAAAATAGTTCCTCTCAACTCAACTAGCCAGTTCATAAGCGTATTTTTGTTGGATAATATCAAAGCATCTGAGTCATCTCACAGAATTGACAGAGGCTCTGTACACACTTCAGCTTTTGAAGTGCTGTGGTTTTGGGTTTCATAAAAGTGCTTTTGTAAACATTGCTTTGTAAGTGTCTGTACCTGCATGAATAGTTGTTAAATCATTGCCATCAGTACATGCAGAGGGCTTGTCCTCTGTGGATAGGGCACATTAATTTATTTATTTGCTCCCCACTCTTAATGCCCACCACACTCCCTTTAAAGATAAAACCCTGTGAGTTTATTGAGATACCAGAAGCCTGGCAGCAGAGGCTACACAGACACAGTTAGTTATATTTAATTCAGTGTAGGCCCTGAGGCTGCCTTCCCTTGTACCATGCAGGCAATTTCATTTTTACTAATTTCTTTTTACAGGGATGGGAGTAGGGTGGGAGTCAAGACACTCTGGGTTGTCCTCAGTTAACATCTGCCCACAAGATACTCACTGAAATTAATACTCAAGTTAGTCATATCTATTTCTTTCAATTGCTTTAGCCTGAGTATAACTAACACTGAATAAACCTCTTTGTAAATGCATAGGCTTCCTTCCCTTCTACCATGCGGGCAACTTCATGGCTATGTATCTTTTTCTTTGGGCAGGGCACTCCGAGTATGCTCAGAGGCTCCCTGTTCTGGTGCTGTGCATGACTAATGGCTGTAGTGCCTGTTTTATTGCAAGGCATTCATGGTGTGTTATGCTTAAGAGTTTCCCTGCCCTGACACCAGGCAGGTGGGGAATATCACAAAGTTTGGTTTATTGAATGAAGAAAGGGGGGCACTTTAGGCTTCTGATCTATCTGCTCCCTGTTATACCAATTAATTCTACTGGGGTCATTGTAATTTCTTAAAGGACAACATCAACTATGTTGTGTTAAGGGCAAAGGAGATGGTGGGGGCAGCTCAAATCAGTCAAACTGCCACCATAAGCAGTCAGATAATATGGTTCTTGGTGGAAAAGGTTTGTAGTGATTACAGCAGTAAGTTGATCCAAGCTTCTGGATTTTGATAAACTGGAAGTATTACTTAAATAGTAGTAATAATAAATGCTATGGTGGAAACTGGCCTCATTCCAACTGTGTTCATGTACAGAGGAGAAAGAGATTCTACCTGCCCTTTTAAAGAGCTGTTTTTGCCCATCCTTTTAGAGAGCAAAACATTAGTGAAACCTATGTGACTCTCCAAAGACTGAAGACTTCTTTGGCGATCACTCATAGCCGAGTAAGATTGTCTTCCATGAACACAGTTTTAACAGTGAGTCCGTAAGTGACTGTGGAGGCCAATTCTGGATCCACACGTCCTTCCACGGTGGGGACATTGGTTTCCGAGTGGGAGTTGACCACAGTGTGGATTTGCCAAGTGTGCCTTCCTCTTAGCATGTTCCTCCACTGCACCCTACGTTTGAGCATCTTCAAAGCCCATGACACCTTTGATAAAGGCTGTTCTCCAATTGGAGCACTCGCAGGCCAGTGTTTCCCAGTTGTTGGTGTTTATACTACATTTTTTAGTTTTGCCTTGAGAGAGTCTTTAAACCTCTTTCGTTGACCACCAGAATTACACTTTCCATTTTTAAGTTCAGAATAGAGTAGTTGCTTTGGAAAAGAATAATCAGGCATCCGAACAACAGGACCAGTCCAATGAAGTTGATGTTGAAGAATCATTGCTTCGACACTAGTGACCTTTGCTTCTTCCAGCACACTGGCATTAGTTCACCTGTCTTCCCAAGTCATGTGTAAATTTTTTCAAAGACACCGTTGATGGAATCTTTCAAGGAGTTGGAGATGGTGTTTATAAGTGGTCCATGTTTCACAAGCCTACAGTAAGGTCGGTAGTACAATAGCTTTGTAAACAAGCATTTTGGTTTCCCTGTGAATGTCCTGGTCTTCAAACACTCTGCACTTCAATTGGGAGAAAGCTGCACTCACAGAGCTCAGGCGATGCTTGGAGTAGTCTGGAACACCAAATAGCTCCAGCGTCTGTCAAGTGAATCTCCAAGGGGGTGGGCAGTGGCTATACATGTACAGCCCAACAACATCACAAGACCCTTCCCAAGGAGGGGTTCCCCAGAGAAGGCACTTTCAGTTTCTACACAAGGCCAAGGGGTGCTTCAACATGCATGGTAAAATATAGGATGACTTATAACTGTTCTACTGAAAGGCACTTTCAAGACACACAAAGAATGCTAAACTAACAATATGGAGACAACATATTCCGTGTGTACACCGGGGGTGTGGGGGTGTGCATCTGAGAAAGGCAGTGAATGCATTTTACGGCTGTATGTGTACATACTCGGGGATTCACCTCCCCTGTCTCACAAGAAGCCACTTGGAGATTCAGCTTCTCCCATCGTGATTTGTCTCTCTATACTCGATATTTTTGTAAGTGTCACACTGTTGTTACCGCCAAAAGCAGTGTGGCGACAGAACAGCAGACAGGTGAGCAAGGAAGCATCGCAGGTGAACTGCTGAGGAAGGAGTGCCATTTAAAGGAAGATGAAAAGTGCTTTGGAGATCAGTTGGGCAAACTGCTCTCTGACATGCCCTCCTCTGTTAAACATCACTGGAGCAGCATCAAAAGGAGGATGGGAAGTGTATCATAGGCAAACTGCTCTCTCATGCACCCGCTCCTGAAGGAAGAGGTGTTTGGGTGAGCTGTGAGGGAAGAGGGTGGGGGTTTAGGGAGAGATGTGGAGAAGGAGGGGGATGGCAAAGGTGTGGGGTGGAGCTCGTGGGTTGGTGAGAAGAGCAAGCAGGGGTGGCAGCTCCTAGTTCTTTACTATATATATGGAAAAGCAATAGTATATTTTATGAAGTTGATTTGCATTCGCTTTACTAAAATATGCCTTGTTTCTTGGGGCTTTTCTTCTTTTTATTTTGCACCTCCTTTTTGAGTTGCATGAAAAGAGCTTGTAAAAATGTGGATAACTGGGAAATACTGATGATGAGTCTATTCAGCCACCACATGAAACAAGAATTGTCAGGACGTCTGGCTGGCATTCAGGTGCCAACTCTGAGTCTTAGCACTAGGAAAAACTGGACTGGATTGTATCAATATAGGGTTTTGCTTTGCCTGGAAGAGCCCAGCTGCAAACATGACTCCACCTTGTTCCTGCTAGACTCGCCTTGGGTGTCGTTTGACTGGCTACTCTGGATCAAAGAAAAACATACTAAGAGAAAGAAGCCTTGTGCACACACCCAAATCAGTCTGTGGAATTGCTGTCTTTTTCTCAGTTCTCCCTTGCCCTTCTTGGATCGTCTTCTTTACAGTCTGCTAGGGTGTGTTGTTGTTGTTGTTGTTGTTGTTGTTGTTGTTGTTGTTGTTTTGAACCCTCCTTTTGGGAGTATTTTTTATGTCTAGCCCTGTAACGTTTGTAGGATCAAATTTTGAAGAGTCCTTGCTGACTAAGCACTGGGATCTCTTTGAGCCAAACCAACATGTTATGCTAAGCACATAATTAGCAATTGTGTACTTTTTTTCCTTCTTTGCTAAATAGCAGCCAAGGGATCAGGACTGTGGCATTTGGGGGGAGGGGCACCAATGGCAGCTTTCAAGAGGGAATAGCAGCTTTGGGTAGTAATTTTTATCAGGACTGTGGGGTGAGTGTTCCATCATCACATGCTCTCTAGCATAGCCCAGGGTGCTTTTCCTCCCCTAAATTAGGGAAGACTATATACTGGCTTAACAGCCCTCATTTACCCAACATGCTGTAATAGCGTAACCCAGAAAGAAGACATTGGTACAGCAGTAGCTGACATAGTGAAACCATAAAACTTGTCTGTTGTGTTTGTCTCCTACCAGCTGAACCACTGCTGCAGCCTCTCTATTTCATGGTGCAGTAAATGCAAGGTGTGGCTTCTGCAAACTGAGACAGATCGCACCATACATGACTGCCCCCCCCCGCCAAAAATGCTGAGAACTGTAATTTACCTCTCACATAGCTAAACTTCCCAGCATCCTTAACAAACTACGGTTCCCAGGATTTGGCAGTGTGTATGTGGAATCATGTCCTTAAAACGTGCGGAGTGTATGGCCAGAACGAAATTGAATTGAGTGAGCTGTAGCCTCAAGAATTTACCTAGAAAACAAGAAGAGCCAGTGGCGGAGGAAGGGGGTGCAGAAGGTACGGGCTGACCCGGGTGTCATCACTGAGGGGGGTGACAAAATGACAAAAATAGGAGGTTGTTTGTTTTTTAAAAAGGGATCACGAAATGTTTTAGTTCAGTCAACAGACATAATGAAACGTGGCTGGTGCTGGGCTGGCGCTGGGCTGGCACTGGTTGCCACGCTTGCATGCATCCTGCAGCGTGCCCAAGTCATGCGTCTCTCCTGGGAGTGACGTGGTGGCTTGGGCGCCTGCAGGCTCCACGCTGCCTGAAATGGTAGCGTGGGACTTGCACCTGCCCGCTGCCTCTCCCTCAGCCACCCTACAGCTGTGGGGGGGATGTGTGCGGCAGAGAGGCTCCATGCAGCGCGCCCCTAACCCCATGGGCGGCTCACTCTGCTCCCGACTGAAGGACATGTGCGCTGCACCATGCACCCCGAGCAGCTAGCTACGCCATTGAGAAGAGCCCTGCTGAATCCCATCTAGAACAGAATCCTGTTCTTACAGTGGCCAGCTAGATGCCTATAGGAAACTCTCAAGCATATACCTTCCAATACATATTTACCCACCAGCAGGATCTTGCACCTTTGCTAGTGCTATGTACAAACATTTGAAATGCACAATATTATTGCATCCTGCCCTATCCCCACCCCAGTTGTGTGGCAACTGAAATCTCTGTGGGTGCTTCCAGCTGGGGGCTTAATATTGCAAACTGGCCATTCAGAAATTGCAAATGGGGCATTGGCAGTAGGTTTTTTCTTTAACTTACCTGATTTTTTGTGAAAACTGTGACTCTGAATATAAAAGGAATGAAATACAGCCTAGCATTTTGATGCTGTCATGGGGGTGTATGCGAGAGCAGTGCCAATAAACACCTATATGGAAGCAACCTATAATATACCAGGATGAGGCAAAATAAGGAAACGTACATTTCGTGGGATATAAAACTGCAGTCAAATACAGCATTTCTACAATAGACATGTCAGGGGATGTTTTGTTCCACTCAGAAGACTTCCTGTTTCCTCCTGAGTTGGGACAGACTTCCACTGCATGTGACTTGAAGAGGGTGTGGTCTGTTGTACTAACATGGAAGAGCACATGGCCTCCATGTTCTGATCAGTGTGTGTTCTCCATTTTGTATGTTGCTGTGTGTTTGGAGAAGTGACTGCTTAGTCGCAGTCACTTGGAACTAACTTCTTTATGGAATAGTTCTAGTTGTTATGTAACCTAAACCTGCCTTCAGGGATATGTCAGTGAACCTGAATGAATGTGAGTAAACTACTTTTATATTAACGTTAATCAGATTCTTGTGTTTTGTGGACCTCAGTGGGTGGGGGTGGAGCTGAACGATGGGGGTAGAGATGCTCCTTCAGGTATACTGGGCTGTTCATGGGGTAGTGCTGGATTAAACCCTGCAGAGGCCCCTTGGCAGTCAAAATCTGGGTGGGGGGCAGGCCTCGTGAGCACACTGGAATAACATTGAACCAAGAAAGCTTGATTGTTGTTTTCTTTCAAAATCAAATCAATATTATTTTGATCCATTGTCATGGGACCCCTAAAAAATGTGGGGCCCATAGGCCAGTGCCTATGCTGCCTATTTGGTAATCCAGCCCGGCCGCTTTGGTTGAAGGAGAGAGAAGAAACAGAAGATTAGGGGCGCTTCCTGATGCACTGCAGCTGTTCCCCACAATGAAATGGAAGGCCCAACATTTGCCAGGCACTTTGGGATGCTCAGCAACCCTGTGTGGTTACAGCAACCCTGTAAAGTAGGCCCTATGCGCTCCCCAAATTGCAGCTGAATCCCTCGCAGATTGGCATCCAACCTCTGCTTAAAAGCCTCCAAGGAAGGAGAGTCCACCACTGTCCCAGAGAGTCTTACCATCAGAAAGTTCTTCCTAATGTTTAGTCTAAATCTCCTCTCCTGCTCTCCCCTCTGGAGCAGCAGAAAACAAGCTTTCTCCCTCTTGCAGCCCTCAGAAGATGGCTCTCCTCCATAGCTGTCAATGATTCACTTTTTAAAGGGAAATTGCCTTATTCTGAATAGGATTCCTCGCAAGAAAAGGGAAAAGTTGACAGCTATGCTCTCCTCTCTCTTCTTAGTCTCCTCTCCTCCAGGCTAAACATACCCAGGTGCCTCAACCATTCCTCATCAGGCTTGATTTCCAACTGCCTCAACCATTCCTCATCAGGCTTGGTTTCCAGACCCTTCATCATCCTGGTCACCCTCCTCTGCTCACCTTCCTGCTGCTCAATATCCTTCTTCAACTAGCCTGCACTGACTGGCAGCAGCTCTCCAGGGTCCCAGCCCCCCTACCTGGAGATGCCTCCCAGGACAAAAGACCTGCATGCAAAGCAGATGGTCCAATCCAGACCCCTAGCCTGCCTTGAAGGATGTGGGAATGGTCTCCCTTTGGAAATGGGGCAGCAGGAAGAAGGATGTGAAATGCCGGCGTGAATCTGCCGAGAGAAAATACAGCTCAGCTGCAGGCGGAACAGCAGATGCCTCCAAGTTCTGACAGTGGAGCATCACCTCTCAGGAGGGGCCAGGTCCAGGTGGGGGGTTGCCACGGTGACAAGGACCTGCCCTCCTTTGTGACATGTCTTGCTTCTCCCTTAAAAGCCACCAACTTGCAGGTGGCCATTGTGGGTTAGTAGTGAGGCGAATTGAGTAGTAGAGAGAGGAATTGGTGGTGGTTGGAGATGATAAGGAGAGGTGTTCATTTGATAGTTATTGTTATTGTTATTTGATTTATTACTTTTATTTGATTCATTTGATTTTATTTGTTTTTATTTTATTTATAATTTCACTTTTTATTTTAACACTTTTATTTTACTTTTTATTTTATTTTTTGTTGTTTATTTTCACGTTTTTTATTTTGTGCACATTTGTGCTCATTTTGTATATATTTTATATATATTTATTTTGTGCATAGAGGAGTAGTTAGGGGTAAGTGTAGGGTCAGAGTTAGGCTTGGGTAGGCATTTTAGATAGTTAGCTAGTTTAGAGAGGAGGGTGGGAATTTTTCACGAACAAAATGTGCAGACTGTAAGTAGCATTCCTTTGCTTTCTTCTGACCTCCTGGGGGCGGGATGTGAGTCCTGGGGTCCCCTGCACAGCCTTGGCTCTCTGGAAATCGACCTGGCCAGTCTTCTCCAGAGAGCTCAGTTCCTCCCTACTTTTTCCCCGCCTTCCCCTTTTCTCTCCCCTCTCATCATTTACATTTACTAGGACATTCCTAGCCCACACATCCCAGGAGCTCAAGGTGGCCTTCATGGTTCTCCCTATCACCAATTGTTATCTTCACAGCAGCCCTGCAAAGTAAGCTAGGCTGACCCATTGTCCACCAGGGAGCTTCATGGCTGAGTGGGGATTCGAACCCTGCTCTCCCAGGTCCTCCTAGTCCAGCCCTCCAACTACTACACCTCTGCCTGGCTCCATTTTGCATCTCTCCAGCTGCCCTATGACATCGGCCTTCTCCCCCTTCCTGGAGGTCTTTCTGGCTCCAAGGAAGACTCCACCACCTTCCTCATGTTCTGCTCCTCTTCTGGGACACCTTGATGCTTGGAGGGCCCTCCTGGGGTCTCCTCCCTATCCAGGAAGGGCAGGGCTGTCCTAAGAAGACAAGCCTGGTGTTTAGGGTTGGAGCCGTCCTCCAGAGACCCCCAGAAGGAGCTGACTTTCCTCCTCTGCTCTCTTCCAACACATCTTTGCCCACTTGGAGTGCTTCAGGGATCACCCCCTGAGCCTGGCCCTGGCCTTGGAGGCCCTCCTCCAGCTGAGGTGAGTGGGGTCTTTGGGGTGGATGGGGGGCAGAACTCCAGGGGGAGCTTTGGGTGGGCAAGAGCAGGCAGGAGGGAGAAGGGGGCAAGGGAGGAGGCAGCATCTAACCCCTTCGCTTTATCTCTCTAGCTTCATGAGACCCCATTTCAGCTATGATATGGTCGGTGCTATCCTGCGTAGGACAATGGAGGCTGTTCTTGGGGGTGCAGAAAAGGAGGAGGACAAAGAGGCATGTCCTGTGCTTTAACTTCCCTTTGCACAGCTCTTTCTTCTTCTCACACCCTTGCAAGATTTAACCCAGCACTCAACCTCTCTTCTCTCTTTTCCTGCGGGAAATGAAGAGGCACTTCCAGAGCCTGCTGGGGGGTCTTCTTCTGGAAGCCCCCAATGCTGGCACCCTCCTCCAGCTGCTCACTGTAAGTATCCAGATGGCATCAGGAGTGGTTTTAGGGTTGCCCCCTCACTGTCCTTTACCCAACAGACTGTCCCATTTCTGGGGCATGGAGTTCCCTGTCCCATTTGGCCCAAGACCAAAACTGGCAACCCTCATGGTTCAGGAGTGCCAGGGACTCTGTGACGGGGGCAGCAGAGGGCCGCTTTGGCCCAGACTGGCTCCTGACGCTGAGACGCTCTCCTCCCGTAGGACCTCCGATATTACGCCCTTTGGGGAAGTGAGGTGGAAAGGAAACTAGTGGCCAGCAGCATTTCTCTGCTGCAGGCTGTTTCACGAAGATTCCCCCACCTCAGAGTAAGTACCTTGCCTTCTTGTATTAATTTCTTTGGTTGCTTCCATCCTCCCAAGAGCACACACCCCCAGCGACTTTTAATGCAGAATATGTGGTGTGTGTCCCTGGGTGCCAGGATGAGGCCAGAGGCTTTTTTTTGCCCCCTTTCCTGGTGCTGCCCTTCCACCTCTGCCCAGAAGGCTGCAGGGCCCAGGGAGGTCCTCTGGGGCAAGGGATTGGGCCCAAGCCATAGGGAGACCCATCCTTCCTGGCGTGGGACTGCTTCTGTGCTCTCTTGCCCCCATCCAGGGTGGGGTTTGTAGTGTCATCTCACCCAGATTTTTCTTTCCTCTGCAGAACACAGTAATTCGGCTGGAGCTGGCCTGCTTCCAGCAAAATCTGAAAGAAGGTAAGCCCCACACCTTGGGGACAGTGAATTCCCTTGTTCCTTGTTTGCCCAAGACACACCTCCCAGGTCTTTCTGCTGGGGGTCCTGCAGGACCTGCTCCCTGCCCGGCAGGCCTTTCCCACCTGGCCTGGGAGGGCAGCACCCAGACTGACTCCAGCTACAAAAAGCAGAGAGGACTCTCTTTTTCATTCTCTCCTATCCAGATGACCTCGTCATTGAAGAGTTATGATTTTCCTCCCTGAAGGAATTGCTGGCTCTATTTGGACGTCCCAACTGGCCAAAGACTGGCAGAAGAAGAGGCGCTGAGAATCAGGAGGGGGACAGATGATTTAACCAGCCATGAAATATGGAGTGAGATTGGGCAGAACTTGAAGGAAGGAAGGAAGGAAGGAAGGAAGGAAGGAAGGAAGGAAGGAAGAATCCATGACAGATGGTGATCTAATCTCTGCTTTAAAACCTGCAAGGAAGGAGAGTCCATCACCTTCCAGGGGAGTCCATTCTTCTGTTGAACAATGTTTAGTTGGACTCTCCTTTGTTGTATCCTGAAGCCATTGGTTCAAGTCCTACCGTCCAGAGCAGAAGAAAGAAAGCTTGCCTCATCTTCCATGTGACAGCCCTTGAGTTATTTGAAAATGGCTCTCTCTGGTGTCACTGGATCAAGCTGATCAATTTTCTTGCATTACTTAAACTAAATAGTTTTTAATGGATTTTGAATAAACATGCAATAAATTGTTACTGTTTTGAATTTCATTGTGTTATTGTCTTCCATTGACCTGGGCACTTTTCTGTTGCTGCAGCCGAAAACAACATTAGCATTTTTTGCTGCTGCATCACTCTCAGGTTGACTCATGTTAAGCTTGTGGTCCACTAAGACCCCTACAAGGAAAGGACTGTTGCTCAGTGGGTAGAGCACATACATTGCATGCAGAAGGTCCAATCCTCAGCATCTCCAGGTAGGGCTGGAGGAGACCCCCGTCTGAAATTCTGCATAGCTGGTGCCAGTCAATGGACCATCGGCCTGATTGCGTATTAGGCAAATTGCAGTGTTCCTGTATTCCCATGTTCTCTTAGAAAATGGGAGAGGTATTTGGTCAAAAGTGGGAGAGGAAACAATGCCCAGAGTCTCCATCTGTTAAAACCATTTCATCAGATCAAATAGGCTCTTGCCTGTGAGAGCTTATGCTTGAATAAATTGGTTAGTCAATTTGTTAGTCATAAGGCATGACTTCTGCAAGAGACAGATATCTGAACTGAATGTGCTGTAGCCTTTAAGATGCTCTATTCCCATCCCCAACTAACACGGCTACTTTTCTGTAATTTATTAAGATCATGCATTATATTTGTCTGGCCAAAATCCTGTTATCCCTCGTGATACTAACTCTTGATCTTTGCTATATTTTCATCAGCCTGGCTCTCTCTGTTATTGCTTGATGGAAGCTTTGCAACTCACCCTTGTGTCTTCTCTCAGATTAATAGCTGATATACTCATTTTATTCTTAGCATAGTCTCTGGAAAAACACCCAGGGTTTAGCCAAAATAAACAACTGAATCACGACCATAGCAACCTTCAAGGGCAAAAAGGGTAACAGAAACTCATCGACGGGAAGAGGGCCGTAGGTGGAGCGGTCTATCATATGTTCGTATTCTCACTCATTCGCTCATTTCCAGTGCTCCTATCACAGTCAAGATACGTCCTTGAGAGAGTGATGCCATCTCCAATTAATTAATATGGAATTTAGAAGAGAGCAAGGGGTATCTTTGTCACGTTAGTGCAGACACCCAATCTTATAATCTGTATCCTGAGGCAAAAGGCACTATATTAAAAAAGAAAATCAGTTGACAAACACCACCTTTGTATTTCCTCAACAGACCATCATAAGCCATCAGTAACGGCAGGTACAGATCCCAGTTTGTCTCAGTGGTAGGTCCTTCTGTCCTCCCCCCATATCCCCACCACTGAGAATCCATACACTGACATTGCGTGACCAGGCGGCGACAGCCCCAGCCCCCAGGCATCATAAGAAAGGAATAAAGACTGACAACGTGTTATGGAATTAAAATTAGGCCATAACTTTATCAAACTTCCGAATGTAGGAAGACCTTGGCTTAGGCCTTGGGTGTGTACCCCTCTCAGCCCCTCAGCCAGGGGAACTGGGAAACATCAGGGTAAATGGGATATGGGGATACACTGCGAGATGTAAGTGTATGCAGGCAGCCCACCCCATATCCCCGCACACAGGGTAGTTCATTGACAACCTTTGGGTGTATGGCCAATGACACCCATTATATAACCCCTTTTAAGAGGGGACCCTGGAATCGACGCTGCAGGGGGGTGAGTCACCACTTCAGGCCCGCCTCCCCCCCCCCATTATAGGGAAGAAAAGACTAAAGGATTCCACCCAAGGCCATAAACTGCCAAAGTTGTGACGAATTGCCACGGGGAAGACAAAACCTGCCAATGCAGGGAAATTTCTTCCTGGTCCTTCAACAGCAACCAGTCAAAGACCTTAGCAGCACCCACTAAACAGGAAGAAAAAGTTAACCTGCAAACAAGAAAGCATTAAACTAAGGGAGGGTAGGGTGGGTGAAACTCCTGAGCAGACTGCCTGGCTACTGTCTGCTCCACCCCCTATATATAAATGGGACTGGCCCCGCCTCACAGCAATGAAACTTATCTACTGAGGCTGGGCGTGAACTTCCAAATAATAACACTGAGACACAGGCCAGCCCCTGTTTGCCATTAAGTTCCCTGGGAACTGTAGCACCGCGCGCGATCCCGCAAAGGGCACCCACAATATAAAGTGTGAGTGCTCATTTCTCTCTATATTATATTTGCACTAGTTCATCATCACACGTGTTATGTACTGAAGTTCTCACCCTGGGCCAGCAGGGGGATACTGTAGATAGTTATGCAAATGAAGGATCGAAAAGTGACGTTCAATGATTGGATAGTTTGTATGCAAATGAAGGATCGAAAAGTGACGTTCAGTGATTGGATAGTTTTAGAAAATGGCAAAAGTTACATTGTTCTGGAGCTCTATATAAGCAGGCTGACTGAGCTCCTCAGTTAGTTCTGTTCCAGCTTACAATAAAGAGCTGCTTTGGAAGAATCGCTGTGTCGTCTGATATGTTCGCCCACAACTTAACAACACTGTTTCACAAGGTTCTAAAGGCAAAGAAAGGGAAAGGAGGTCCCTACTTGTGTTTGTAGTAAACGACTTTGGGTGAGGGTTAAGGGAAGGCATTGGTGGTGGAAAGAAGGGTCTCTGTGTGTGACAGTTTTAGTTCTTTGCTGACAGGGAGAAGAGGAAAGGAAGGGGCAGGTGGAAATGGGTTGGGGGACTGAGAGGGAATATGGGAGGTAGAAATCCAGGTATGTGTGTGTGTAAGAGAGAGGGGGAGAGAGAGATTTAGGGCTCTGGTTAAAAGGTAAAGGTAAAGGGACCCCTGACCGTTAAGTCCAGTCGTGAACGACTCTGGGGTTGCGGTGCTCATCTTGCTTTATTGGCCGAGGGAGTCGGTGTACAGCTTCCGGGTCATGTGGCCAGCATGACTAAGCCGCTTCTGGCGAACCAGAGCAGTGCACAGAAACGCCGTTTACCTTCCCGCCGGAGCAGTACCTATTTATCTACTTGCACTTTGACGTGCTTTCAAACTGTTAGGTGGGCAGGAGCAGGGACCGAGCAACGGGAGCTCACCCCGTCACAGGGATTCGAACCGCCAACCTTCTGATCGGCAAGCCCTAGGCTCTGTGGTTTAGACCACAGCACCACCCGCGTCCCAGGGCTCTGGTTACAGGGGACGAAAGCTGGAGAGGAAGAGTAATTAAGATAGAGGATAATGGAAGGGGGCATTTTGCAGTGCTGTGGCGGAGTAAGTAGGGGGGATTGGGGGAAATGAAGGGGGATATGCATTTCCCTCCCATCAACACTGTACTCAAACTGCTGGGATAGCTCAGTCGGTACAGCATGAAACTCTTTATCTAGGGTTGTGGGTTTGAGCCCCACATTGGGCAAAAGATCCCTGCATTTGCAGAGGGTTGGGCTATATGACTATGATTCTATGGTTCTCCTTTTTCTATTCCTTAGCTGCCTCATATGAGAGGGATAAAGGATGTGGAGCCCTCAAATATTCCACAGTGCCTTCCCGCAATGTATTTCACTCCTGGTTGTCGTCAACATGCAATTCCGGATGTAGTAATTTAGAACAGGTATTTCATTAACAAACAATCCACCACAGATATACAATACCCAACTGAACATCACCTCATATTAATAATAATAATAATAATAATAATAATAATAATAATAATAATATATCAGGCTCAGGAAAGCAGCATCAGATGTTCCATCTGAGGGGCAAATGGGGTCCACTGGTTCTCTGTGGGGGCGGGGGGTTAGTGAACAGCATGACTGGATTAGGCCTTCCTTTGCTCAGTCTGAACTAATCTGAGCGATTGCCTAGAGTGACTTGCCTTTCCCAACAAGGCAGGAAAAGTAAAACTTGCCTTGACTTCTGAAACAAACTAACCATTTTTAAATGGGTAATTAAATAGCTCTCTCTGAAGAGAGAGAGGTACCTGGCCGAGGTACAAAGCTCTCCTCTTATTTTATTTTGGAAATAAGTTTTATACACGGTTTTCCAATCGTTGTGTGAAGGTTCTGAGAGGAATTATGCGTGGGAATAGAAAGAAAGTCGTCCCCCGTCCCCCCGATCTAACTTAAACATGAAGCAATTGATAAAAATAGGAGATCAGTTCCCAGGAATGCGTAAGGGAGCCTGTTTTATATCCGAGCTTCAATATTATCTGCTTTCAAATGTCATATAATCCCAAATTAATAACTGTGGTTTACTGTGACTGCACAGTGACAGGGATATTGTTAAGTACCGCCTAAAGAGATGACATTTGAAATCATCATTTCTTTCAAGAAGAAAAGGAATGATTGCCATATTTAGAGGCACTTAGCACTGGGACCACTGGTGGCAGTTTGCTGTTCAGCTCCCAGAAATAATCGAATGTTATTGAATCATATAGAATCCATGCCGGCTGCCTGCGCTATTGCAGCCATAAATTAAAATGACAATCCATCGGCTGGCAGCTTCTCCTTGGGAGCAGGCAACTCTAATCTCGTGTTGTCTTTCCAAAGCAGCTTGCCTGGTACCGCATGTGCAATGTGATTTTCTTTTACAGCTAAATTATGACTCCAGTGTGATTGATCTCCTCAAGCTATTTTGAGATTCCCTGACTGCCTAGAAGTATCTCTGTTAGACTGTGTATATTTGCTAAGGTTGAGGAGTTTGGGGAGGGTGGGGAAGGGATCTTTCTATGATTTCGGTGCCACAAAATGCTCGTTTGAAAACTGATTTCTCTTATTTCTGTGCCCCTCCATATGCACACATTGAAACTAGGGGCAGAGCTCTAAACTAGAGTGAGACAAGCAAGTGTTCTGGCCACCGATGCAGCTACTTGTATGAAGTCTCATACAGAAGTGCTATTGGTAAAGGGTATTATATTCATATTTTAGTTATTTGTATCATACCCCTCTGAGAATCTCAAGGTAATATACATGGGGTTTGTTGGTTTGTTTGTTTGTTTGATTTATTTATTTAAACTGTTTTTATACTGCTTAATCTATAAAACTGTCTCTAAGTGGTGTACAGAAAACTAAAACAATTACAACCAATGCTACAAAAACACACTAAGACAAATTATTAATAAACAATATCCTGATATCAATTCCTTCTCCCACTGACACACCTCCCCCATTCAACAGCTCTCAGCCTCCTGGCTTAGGCCCCAAACAAGCTCACAGAACACCCCACAATTATTATTTTATAAAAAATATATTTTATTGGGGGGGAACAATTACAAAGAAATAAAGTGATGCAGAAAAAAAGGAGGGAAAGTGAGGGGCAAAGATGTATATAAGAAAGAAAGAAAGAAAGAAAGAAAGAAAGAAAGAAAGAAAGAACTATATATACCGTATTTTTTGCACCATAACACTCACTTTTTTCCTCCTAAAAAGTAAGGGGAAATGTCTGTGCGTGTTATGGAGGGAATGCCTATGGGTGGCATGCCTACGGATTTTCCTCCTCTAAAAACTATGTGCGTGTTATGGTCGGGTGCGTGTTATAGAGCGAAAAATACGGTACCCCACAAATGAAGAGGTTTCCTGAAACTTGATGCCATAACTCTAGTCTTTCACTCTACTTTTCTGAGCAGGCACAAAGGTTGCTGGATCCTTCTCAGGCTACTCACTTCCATCAGCATCCAGTCATCCACAGTGTATACACCCAGTTCCGGGCTACAGCAGGTTTGGTGAGTTTCCCAGGAGGCTCAAAGGATGACAAAGAAGACACCTCTTCGTTGTGTAAGGGAGTCATTGGAAGTAAGTGCGAAAGACTATATTGAGACCACACCTTTTCTGTGACCTATCTATGATGTCTTGATGATGCATCCTGAGATGTATTATGGGAAATTTGGGGAGACTTTAAAAATACTGATGTAACCATTGTTCGGGGCTTCTGGCTGCTTCATCTTGGTGTTGTGGTGTTGTAGGAAGTCTTGTTGCAAAAATAAAGATCAGGCCTACCGGCCGCTGTTTTGCTTCTATCTCCTGGCTGAAGTCTCTTGTTTGTGACCCCCGACCTGAACCTATGGGAGCCAAGGTGGGGTGCTCCAATGACCCCCTTATACGGTATTCACTTTTCTTCCTCTGGTTTCTGCATACCTCTCTTCTTTTAGGATTTGTCTGTATGGGAATTTACTATACGTCTGCAGCTATTTACATTCCCCCTTAATTGATGTAATTCATGTGAACCTACCCCCAACAACACTTTGCCTGACTTTGGGGGCATGATGATGATGATCATGATGATTTTAGGTTCATGAACAACTATCTGTGTGCATGCCCTGTTTGCGCTTAATCGACACAACAGAATCAACAAATTAAAAAGCAGGGACAAAAACAAAAGGGAACGCCTGTTGCTATGAAAGGAAAAGGCCCAAATTGCTCCTCATATACAAACTCAACACTGGTCTAATTAGAATGGGGAAAAAGTGGATTAACAGCTAAAGAACGCTCAACAATGGACAAGCCTTTTTCTCCCACACAACATGCCTGCAGGCTCTTTTTGATGTTGCCTTTGTGGCATGAGAGTTGCTGCAGTGCAGAGATGGGGGATGGGGTTGTGGCTTTCCAGATGTTTGTGCACTCCAAGCGCCCAGTCTGGGATGATGGGAGTTGCAGTTCAGTAACATTGGGAGGGTGGCAGAGACATCACCTTGCCAACAAAGGTCCGTATAGTTAAAGCTATGGTTTTCCCAATAGTGATGTATGGAAGTGAGAGCTGGACCATAAAGAAGGCTGATCGCCGAAGAATTGATGCTTTTGAATTATGGTGCTGGAGGAGACTCTTGAGAGTCCCATTGGAGGATCACAGCTTCCCCATCCCTGCTGATGCACACTCATGTCAGATGCCCCAAGTCCCATGGAATGAGTCTATCATTCAATCCCTTCCTATGAATTGTGGCCAAAAATTGCAGAAGGGACCATGAGAGGTAGGATTAGCAAATGAGCACCTCGGCTCATTTTAATGTCTGATGTTTTATCACATTATTATTATTATTATTATCTTCATTATTATCATTAATTCTGTTGTGAGCCGCCCAGAGTGGCTGGGGAAACCCAGCCAGATGGGTGGGATATAAATACTAAATTGTTGTTGTTATCTGATGGCAACTTGAGCCAGGAAACAAAAAGGTATGTATTTATTTGCTTACATAGAATTGTCCTTCCTGCTCTTCTCGTGCCTGAGCACAACTAAGGACAGGTTGCGACACTTGACAGGCAGCATCATTGTAAAATAATACATTTTTAAAAAGTGCAACACAGCCTTTCAATAAAACATTAAGATGCAATCCTAACTCATTTATCTGGCAGTAAGCCCCATTTAATAGGACTAACTTCTAAACAGATATAGTTAGGATTGAGCTGTTTGTACTTAACAGGCACGTCTGTCAAAATAAAAAAGTCTTTGTCAAACAGCAAAAGGCTTCCACAATGGACGCCTCCAGACTGTCAAATATTTTCTGGGAGTGATTCAAGTGCCTACCAATAAGTTTAGGTCTGCGCAATTAAAAGTGGATTAAAACGCTCTGCTGCCCTAGCATAAGAAATCCACTTTGAAAAAGAGACATTGACTTTTTGCAGTTTGGAAAGTGAAGGGGAAATGCATTGACAAGTGTGGGCTGAACAAAAGATGAATGGAAAGATGTATAAACACCCTGCAAACAAAACGATATGAATGCTCATCGTGGTATAACCTCCCTGTAAGCAAATCAGAACAAATGCTCAGTGAAGACCAGACATAGTCTAACCTTCTTGTAAGCTTTGTGCAAGCAAAGCGGAATGACGGTTCAATAACTAGGTTGTCTGGAGCAACCCAATGTTGCAGGCCACTGAAAAGACCCTTCTAACTCTTGTTGCTGTCAGCTATGTTTCTACCCCAGATAGTACTCAGAGAAGTGCCTCTACTTCTGGGAAGGTTGGTATAGTTTCCCTCTTGTTTACTGGACCAAAATCATTTAGGGCTTTAAAGCTAGTTACTAACACTTTGAGTTGTGTCCAGAAGCCAATTAGCAATCAAGACAAGCGCTGGAGGACAGATGTCATAGGTTCTTACAAACGTGTGTCCAATTCTGGACCAACTACAGGTTCCCAAGACTCTTCAAAATAGAATGTGCAGAACGCACTGCAGCAATCCAATCTTGATGTAGCTATAGGTAAAGGTAAAGGGACCCCTGACCATTAGGTCCAGTCGTGGCCGACTCTGGGGTTGCGGCGCTCATCTCGCTTTATTGACCGAGGGAGCTGGCGTACAGCTTCTGGGTCATGTGGCCAGCATGACTAAACCGCTTCTGGCGAACCAGAGCAGCGCACGGAAACGCCGTTTACCTTCCCGCAAGAGCGGTACCTATTTATCTACTTGCACTTTGACGTGCTTTCAAACTGCTAGGTTGGCAAGAGCAGGGACCGAGCAACGGGAGCTCACCCTGTCGCGGGGATCCGAACCGCCGACCTTCTGATCGGCAAGTCCTAGGCTCTGTGGTTTAACCCACAGCGCCACCCGCATCCCTCATTGATGTAGCTAAGGCATGTGTTAATAGCAGTACTGCCTCACAAATGGGTGGCAGCGTCTAAGCTGGACAAAATGTAGCTCTCCTCACTCTTATATTTATTTATTTCAGCATCTGTTTCTCCTTTCTGTACTTTCTGAGGTTAGAAGGGCACCCCTTCCCTCCCTCACAAATACGAATGCAGAAAGCTGGAAAACAAAATGAAATGAAATCACACCACCTTGCATTTTCTCTGTTTGGAGAGATAAAAAAGAGATTGATGTGGAATCTTCAAGTAAGAAGCAGCAGGTTTCGACATTGTCTTCCTAACACTTTAAAAAGAATTCCACACTCCACATTCTTTTTGACCACTTTTATTATTTCAGTTTAGTGACATTCAATCATTATCATATAAAGGACATGGCTCTGTTAATTCCAAGGGGTCTACTCTGAGTAGGACTTACTTGGACACAATCCATTGCTTTTGCTTTGTTATAATACCTTAAACACGCATTGCCCTTATTTAATAATATTTCAAGCCACTGCTGATGTCCACTCATTTTCTCCTTTGGTGCCTGAAAATAAAATAACACCCATTTTCTGCCATCCTCACCCACACCATCATTCAGATTGTTCAAGATGAGACCCGAGTCCAAGTCAGTCATGAAACTGTTTACTGTCTCTCAGACCAACCTACTAATAGGTTATTATGTGGGGGTGAGTGGATCTGAGCTTCTAAAAATAAGGGAAGGGAAAAATGGATCACATACATTATCTCAGTCCTACTGAAGCATTGCATATTGCATATGGTGAGGAGAAGGGTTTAGTCAGAGAGAGCTAGAGAAGGAGGGAGACACCTTCTAACAATTCCACAGCTGAGGCAATATTTTAACCAGAGACTTCCTGCCTTATAGCTTGTCCTCTTAACCTCCACAGCTCTCAACTGAGTGACATGGTGACACCAACTCTGCAGGCACCAACTCAAAAATTGCACCAATGTTCAAAACACCGGAAATATGAGTTGTGATCATCTCAAAAACTATATATATATATATATATATATATATATATATATACACACACACACATTTCCTTTCTCAAGTATAATCCTTCCTCCTGTGTCTGGAGACTTCATTTTGTATCCTGTGTTGGCTTCTCTGTTTTGTGTTGAGTGGGCAGCACAAATCTCACTTAACAGGCAGATACCCCTGAAAATACAGTATTTCCTTGGCAACATTCATCGTCTGGCGCCAGACCAACAATTTCATGTCTGCAAATACATCCCACTAGTGGAGAGTGTGACTGCATATTTTGTGGAGAGAGAATGGTGTGCTGACATGGGGCTTTTAGCAGAAATGAACAACACATGGTGCGTTCCCCTTAATAACACACCTAGGAGAAAAGTATATTTCTCATGCATAACAGGTGGTTGTTATGATGACCTGCACAAACTGCCTGCCCTTTCACAAACTTCCTTAAACTAAACAAACAAACAAAAAATCCTTCCAGTAGCACCTTAGAGACCAACCAAGTTTGTTATTGGTATGAACTTTTGTGTGCATGCACACTTCTTCAGATACCTGAAGAAGTATCTGAAGAAGTGTGCATGCACACGAAAGCTCATACCAATAACAAACTTGGTTGGTCTCTAAGGTGATACTGGAAGGAATTTTTTTAAAATTTTGTTTCAAGTATGGCAGACCAACACAGCTACCTACCTGTTCCTTAAACTAAAGACACCATTGCTTGAAGGCTAAATGGACATGTTTCTTGTTTCTCTCTCTCTCCACTCTGCCGGCAAATGAGAATGTTTTAGTTTTAGTTATTTCTGTCTTATAGGAACCCAAGAAGAGAGGCTTCCAATTCATATCTCTTCCCCTAACTTGGGATACAATAATTATCTCAGGCACATAGCTGTCAACGTTTCCCTTTTTTAAAGGAAAATTCCCTTATTCCGAATAGGATTCCTCGCAAGAAAAGGAAAAAGTTGACAGCTATGCTCAGGCATCCTGCCTGTGGGACCTGCCTCACATTGCCTCAGATCCTGTTCCCCATTGCTTGAGCCACATCAAGATATAGCTTAGGTTTATTTTTATTAGTTCTTGTCTACTTAAAAGGTAAAGGTAAAGGGACCCCTGACCATTAGGTCCAGTTGTGGCCAACTCTGGGGTTGCAGCGCTCATCTCACGTTATTGGCTGCGGGAGCTGGCATACAGCTTCCGGGTCATGTGGCCAGCATGACTAAGCCGCTTCTGGCGAACCAGAGCAGCACACGGAAACGCGGTTTACCTTCCCGCCGGAGTGGTACCTATTTATCTACTTGCATTTTGACATGCTTTCGAACTGCTAGGTTGGCAGGAGCAGGGACCGAGCAACAGGAGCTCACCCCGTCAAGGGGATTCGAACCACCGACTTTCTGATCGGCAAGCCCTAGGATCTCTGGTTTAACCCACAGCGTCACCTGCGTCTTCTTAGGAACACCTTGAAGATGCTTGTATATCCTTTTAACACTCCCTGTGCTTTGGGGGAGTGGGCTGAGTAGGTAATAATGTTATTGTTGTTCAATATTGCTTTTCTGCTTTCTCCATGAAGTCTCACCAGCAGAGGGGAGTGCGCAAAAATATGACAAACGCCATTGTTTCCACAGTCCAAATTCATTAAAATACTACGCTTCATGCTCCCCACTTCCCAAGGCAGTAAGAAGTCTGAGAAGGGTCAATTTCCTTGTGAGGAGAGAGTCCTAGAAACCTGTGAGGTCTGTTTTGCTACAGTGCTTGGCCTCACTGTCTTTGAGGAGGCAATCTCCTTTGGCAGACGAAGCTATTTATATTCATTCATTATCCCCAGCTTGCTCTCAGATAGCCTGATTCGATGGGTTCACCAGCCTTGATGAGAAGGGTTTCTGTCTTTATCCGAACGGTATGTTTTGACATGTGGAAAACTGTCCATATTTTATTTCTTAAAATCGCAGCACAGCAAGTCATGTTTTGCATGTCCAGTATCATGCGTAGCACTGCACAAATATTTAAAATGTCCCTTTTAAAAAGGGAGCTGCTAATAGCTGCCTTCTCTGAATGGATTCCCCCCCCCCCCATTCTCATTTTTCCTCTTCTGCTGCCCGACACCAACGTTCCTCAAAATTTCGTCGCGATTCAAATGGCTTGACATCTTTCACTTTCCAGAGCAGCTTTGCTTAATTTAATGGCCTTGAGAGCAGACTAAATCATGCCAAAAGTAATGTAATGTTAACATCGGAAAGCCACACTTGCTCTGCTTTGTGGAATACCTGAGATCCTCATCATTCTTCGAGGTGACATCATTCTGTCTCAAAGTCAGGCAACACTCATGTATTATACATGTGTTTATGTAATATATTTATGTAATAAGAGCACTTGCTATGTAGCAAATGCCATGCCCTTGGGTCCCAGGCTGTTTTCATTATCATTCCATTTTCACAGCCTCCTATCTTTTAGTTAGCCGATTTCTTTGCATAGTTTCAGTCCAAAACTCTGAAGAAAATTATAAACTTAAATCTCAGATCATCCATGCTTTGACAATAGACGAGGGAGCTGAACTGGTCTGCTTTACCAAGACCTGGGTGGAGACCTGGGAGGAGTTAGTCTCTTCCATCAATGCTCTGCCAGGTACTTAACGCAACACCAACATAAATTCAAGGATCAGGGAATGGGGTTCAATGCGGTATTCAGGAATTCTCCCTCCTTAGGCTTCTTGTCCATTTGAGTGCCAGTTTTGAGTACAGTGGTACCTCAGGTTACATACGCTTCAGGTTACAGACACTTCAGGTTACAGACTCTGCTAACCCAGAAATAGTACCTTGGGTTAAGAACTTTGCTTCAGGATGAGAACAGAAATCGTGCTCCGGTGGTGCGGCGGCAGCAGGAGGCCCCATTAGCTAAAGTGGTGCTTCAGGCTAAGAACAGTTTCAGGTTAAGAACGGACCTCCAGAAGGAATTAAGTACTTAACCCAAGGTACCACTGTATTAGTCACGAAATTAAAAGATGCCTGCTTCTTGGGAGAAAAGCAATGACAAACCTAGACAGCATCTTAAAAAGCAGAGACATCACCTTGCCAACAAAGGTCCGTATAGTTAAAGCTATGGTTTTCCCAGTAGTGATGTATGGAAGTGAGAGCTGGACCATAAAGAAGGCTGATCACAGAAGAATTGATGCTTTTGAATTATGGTGCTGGAGGAGACTCTTGAGAGTCCCATGGACTGCAAGAAGATCAAACCTCTCCATTCTGAAGGAAATCAGCCCTGGGTGCTCACTGGAGGGACAGATCCTGAAGCTGAGGCTCCAATACTTTGGCCACCTCAAGAGAAGAGAAGACTCCCTGGAAAAGACCTGATGTTGGGAAAGATGGAGGGCACAAGGAGAAGGGGACAACAGAGGACGAGATGGTTGGACATTGTTCTCGAAGCTACCAGCATGAGTTTGACCAAACTGTGGGAGGCAGTGGAAGACAGGAGTGCCTGGCGTGCTCTGGTCCATGGGGTCACGAAGAGTCGGACATGACTAAACGACTAAACAACAACAACAACTGTGATAGATTGGAGATTCTGTGACAGGGTGGAGCATCTATCTGAGGTGGTGGAGGTGGTCTCTGATTTGGTGCTGTGGATAATTGTTCTGAGGGATTGCAGAATTCAAGCCATGGCCAATGAACCTGGGGCAACTCGGGGCTTCGGGGCTTCCCTAATAACCATGGAGCTATCCCAACATGTCATCAGCCCAACTGGGCAGGACCATGGTGATCTGAAAGTGGGAGACTGAACATCTATGCCTTGTCGTGGCTGGATCACTTCCTATGGAGATTTGGACTTTCAGCAGCCATTTACACAAGTGGCCTATTGAAATGGTCTGCCACTAGAGGCTAATGAATTCTGAAGAATTCTGGAAGGCTCTGGGAGATTTCCCAGCTGGTATGGCTGGCACAAAACAAGTATTAACTGGTCTAGTTATACTGGATGATTCTCAGACATTGAGCCCTGAAGATGTGGAGAAGGTACTTGGATGGTTTAGGCTGATTCCCCAATCTCTGTCTGAATAGAGATTGCCTTGCTACAGGGATCCATGTTCTGGTAATTTCTCCTTTTGATCACTACAATGAGTTAGATGCCAGGCTGCCTTTGAAAATGGTCTGGAATAGGGCAACAAGATGTTACTTGGGAAGGACTGGTCTGTGTGGTCCAGGGCTTTGTCATCTCCACCCCCATCGTCCAACCCGGACACTGAGGTCCACCTCCGAGGGCCTTCTGGCAGTTCCCTCACTGCGAGAAGTGAAGCTACAGGGAACCAGGCAGAGGGCCTTCTCGGTAATGGCGCCCGCCCTGAGGAACGCCCTGCCATCAGATGTCAAGGAAATAAACAACTATAGTCGTACATCCACTTACGTATCCCTCTGGTTATGTAAACTTCGGGATACGTAAGAGGCAAACCCGGAAGTATATTTCCGGGTTTTTGCCGTGTGTGTGTGTGTGTGTGCAGAAGTGGTCTCTCTGGTTGTGAAAACCTCGGGATCCGGCCAGACCTCTGGAATGGATCCCGTCTGCAAACCGGAGGTACTACTGTATCTGACTTTTAGAAGACATCTGAAGGCAACCCTGTTTAGGAAAGTTTTTAATGTTTGATATTTTGTCTTGTTGTTGTTGTTGTTGTTGTTACTGGCCTCCCATTCATTTCTGGACCTTCTGCTACTATCAATCTTTTAAAGCTACAAAAGCGTTGTAACTTCTTACCAAGAGAAAGCTGGTCCTCCCTCATCTCTGGAAACCCCATTGGTTTTATTTGTCAACAGCCATCACTATACTAGCTTTCCCATCCTCTTATTAAGTGGCCCATCAGCATTGAGAGGACTTCATGAGGGAGAAGATTGGTTCCTCCGCCCCTGGCTCCGAAGCTTGCTCCACAGTTGCAATGGAAGAGCAATCTTTTTCTTTATACTTTTCCTCACCTTGTTAAAAAAGATTTAGGTTTCGGTAGGGAGGCTGGGAAGATACAATAATGTTTAATTAACTACGTTGGGGAAAACTAATATTAAAATGTTGATTTCGAGAAAGCTGAGATCACCAAGAAATATGAGGTGGTTGGGGTTTTGTTTTTTTTAGGACTATCAAGCTATACAATTTTGAGCATGAAAAACAATGGAGATGTGGCTTCCTGTCGTGTTGTACTCAGCGAGCTATTTATGGATGAGCAAATTTTCCTGTTCAGTTGGAAAAGATCTATTCTAGGGTGATGACAAATGATGACATTTTCTTATGATTCCAACAAGCCCTTTATATTATCCATATACGCAAGATTTAATACTAAAACTTGCTTACCTTTAAACTGACACTTTCCTGCCTGGTATGACAAACTTAAAACATCAAGGTGAAGATATTGTTATGAGCAGTGCTTTCTAGAAAAAGAGGTGCTGGAACTCACCATGAACACCTCCCTTGTTCTCTTAGAATGGTAATGTTAGTCACCTGAGAGAGGCCAGAACTGAGCTCTGGCAAGTTCTGGCTGAAATAAAGCCCTGGTTATGAGTTTGTGGGGTTCCTGGTCTCCCCTTCTAATTCCTAGGTGCCAAACACTGGATTTGGCATGTTAACATGCAAGCCAGGATCCAGACTGGCAA